ATAAATGGATACATGGAAAGTGGTTTAACTAGGCTGTATGATGGCACAGCAAAGCTGTCTTCATCCAGAACAGGCAGCTGCTCCCTTCCAGCCATGCAGAGCATTAGGAGGTACCACTGTGGTAGGCAGTAACTTCACCGCCTCCCAGGGTTTCCTTTAGCCTTCATCAATACTTAGTGTTTGCTCTGTCTTCTCTATGTATTTGGGACTCTTTCACTAATGTTGGAGCTACCTCTATAAATGCAAATTTCATTACCCATCTGGCATCCTCATCTTACTATATTTCATCCTTACAATGCTGCTAGTAGAGAACCTTATGTCTGGTTTATAGCTTCATGTCACCTCTCCAGCATGCAGTGAAAGACAGAGCTGTGGCTGCAATACCTGTCAGCAAACAGCCTGCTCTCCAAGAGAAACCATTTATTGAGCAAAAGGCATTCTGCAAAGAAGCAGTGCGATAGAGTAAAAAATGTCCTGCAGCAGCTTCAGTGTCTTTCTAAACTGAAAAAGATAGAGATTGGTGTCCCAAACCCATTGGGTTACTATTTTGTTTGGTGTCCATGGCAATGAGTGTTAGCTACTTTCTTTTCCCTTACAACACCAGATGCTTCAGAACTCAGCCACTTTAGGGTAATTCCCAGCATCTGGAAAATTTGGGGCTCTAAAATGGAAAGAAGTGTTTGGTGAGATAGTGGAAATCTACACAAAAGGAAGAGGAAATTTCTGGAAGGCAGAAGTTTCTGGGATGGAAGAAAAAGAAAGGCAGAGAAACTGCAGAAGACACAGGAACTCATGCCAGACAGGATGTCAACATGGACCAAGGACAGATAATTACGGAGCAGAGCCAGGCTGTGACCAAGTATCTCGACTGACAGATAGAGCAGGGTAGAAGTGCTGCTGCATGTTTGCTAGGCTGAGACTGTGCAGGCACCATTTAACTACAAGCACCAGCAGTCCCTTTAAATATATCTTCCTACTAAAAAACAATGATGAAGTTTTATTCTGTCGAGTGTCACCTCATGACTGCAATATCAGACATTCACAGTGGTTTTTTTATGGGATAACCCACAAGAAAAAATACACAGCAAAATAAACAAACTGATGTCTCTAACCATGGTATCTTTTTTTTTCCCCAGGTGTTTGATCATTCTCCCAGACCTTTCCTGAATGTTTCCAGTTTTTGGATGGCTTTTCTGAAGAGTAAGTTATTTTAATAGCAACGTCCTGGTGCCAAGTGCAGGGATAATGTCACCTCTCTACTCCTACTCAGTATTTCCATGTGCATGTGCTTTGCAAAGACTGCATTACTCTTTTCAGCATCAACAGCACATCATGAGCTCATGCTCAGCTGATTATGAAATACTCTCTTCCCCCTCCAAGTCTTTGTGAGTCACTGACTGGCAAGATAAAACCTCCTATCCAGTTTGGTCTCCAATTTATGGTCTGTACAATATTTGCAATGCTAAAGACATGCTTCGTGACAAGATTAAGCACCAGATTTTGTGAGGAGCAGAAGTAATGAAAGCTCCTTTGCTGCAGCTCTGCCTGGTGATGTTCTGGTGTCTGAAGGACAGGTCAACACAGTCGCTCTTCCCAGATGAGCATTTTAACATAACAGGTTGGGATAATGTGATGAGACCTCTATTTCTGTGTCAAGCTTGAAGTAAGGCAGAAGTGGAGACAAGGAGAATGGAAGGCAGACATTCAATGCTGTTCTGAAGGCAGCATGGTAGGAGTCTCACACAGCAATCTGTGTTGGGTTATCCCTTCTTCTGAATCCTTAACTTGTGTTCCCATCTGCTATTGTGCCCCTGTGCTCCTCTGAGCTTGAGGAAATGGGCCTCTGATGGGCTGATGGCTCTTGGCAGCCATGGGTCAGGGTGTTGTTATTTATGCTTCCTCTCCTGCTGTTGTCTCTCTGTGCTCCTTTTGTGGCGGTGCATATGGGCTTTTGGCCCTGATTACCATCACTTGGGACTTGCAGCACCTCTGCAATCTGCTGTCGGCTCTGCTTCCCTCTCCTGATGGCCTCAACAGTGAGGTGATGCTCAAGGTGCCACACTGCTCTGAGCCCTTCTCATCGCACAGCCAGCCTCCAGCATGCAGCTGAGCATGACTCAACCCACACATACCTGGCCTCATCCTTGCTGCCTCTTTTATCTCGCCCCCATCTCCCTCTCCATGAACAGAAGCACCTTCACTTTTCCAATAGCATCCTGATGCTGCACATTCATTGCAACCCTGTGAGGTCTCATTGCCAACACAACAGCCCTTACTATACTCAAACAAACCCTCTAAACAAAAGCCTGCATCAAAACGATGCTCAGGGTAGAAAGAGCTGGAGACTTCAATCAAATGCAATGGCAACTTTGTACTAAAAAAGATAAAAAGTAGGTTATTTTTTGCTTTTATTTTTTCTTGCATTGTTTGCTTTGTTTTTCTTCAAGCCTCCTTCCTCCTTCAGTCTCTCCTTCTTGCTACCACCATGCTGAAAATGGGAATAGCGAAAAATCAAAGGAGGAATAAAAAGATCCATAGCAAATCTATACTCTAAAATACCCCACTGCACAGACTCCCTATAAAGACTCTTAAAGTGGGAGGCAGCCTCGCAGGAACTAACCACCGCGGATGGGTTGACCTCGGAGAGCAGCCAAACTCCCACATAGCTACTGGCTCACTCCCCTGCAGCGGGATGAGGGAGAGAATAGAACAAAAGTGAGAATGTAGACACAGATAAGGACAGTTTAATAGGTGAGGGAAGGCAAAAAAACCACCCAAACTCCAAACAAACCCTAAACCAAACAACCTAACCCCCAAATCACCTTGGAAGACAAAAACCCCACTATTCTTCCTCCTCTGCTCCAGGTTTTCTTGCCCAAGTTGATGCTTTATGGCATGGAATATCCCTGTGGACAATTTGGGTCAACTGTCTCTGCTGTGCCCCCACCTAGTCTCTTGCTCACCCCCAGCCTACTTGCTCTGGGGGCAGAATAACAAAAAGCAAGCCTTGATGCTCTGAAAATGCTGTTCAGCAATAGCCACAACACTGGTGGATATCTGCCCCATCACAGACCTCCATGCACTGCAGGGCAGAGCCTGCCTCACCATGGTCTGTATCACGGGCTGCAGGGAAATCTCTGCTCCGAGGCCTGAGCATCTCCTTCCTCCTGCACTGACGCTGGTGCCTTCAGAGCTGCTCCTCTCATGTATCCTTACTCTTTCTGGCTGCGTTTGCACAGTCATTCCCTCTCCCTGCTTCTTAAATCTCTTATCCCAGAGGTGCTACCACTATCCCTGATGGGCTCAGCCTTGGCCAGTGGAGCTCCATCTTTCAGCTGGCTGGAATTGGTTCCACTGGATGTGGGGAAAGCTTCTGGCAGCTTCTAACAGATGCTTTCCCTGTACCCCCCCCCACTATCAAAACCTTGCCATGCAAACTCAATCCACTTGACAAAGTTCTTCTTTCAGGTCACTCGAGGGAGGACTCACAAGCTGACCCAGGATCTGCAGTCTCCAGAAATCCACTATGCCGAGGAAAGCTTTTTGATTAGCTGGTGGAAACCTGGCTGTTATCTTAGTGATCACATCCATGGGGATGTGATGATGCTGATTTTGCCATTACAAAACGGTTGGAAATATCTATCCTGGAGAAGAGGACGAAGGTCCCCATGAGATGGTTCCTGTAGTGCTGAGATGCCAGCAATGCAGGGCCAAGTGCCAGACTTGGCTGCAGGCCACTGCTTTTATCAAATGTCTCCCAAGCAAAACACAGCGATAAGCAGCACAGCAGGCAGCAAAAGCTGACAGCAGCCATTAAGAAGCCCTGGAGCTCAATGGGCAGTAAGAAAGGGAGTAAGCTTTGAGCAACCTGGTCTAGTGGAAGGTGTCCCTGCCTGTGGCAGGGGGTTGGAACTGGATGAGATTTGAGGTCCCTTCCAACCCAAACCATTCTGTCATTCTATTAACTCACTCAGCACTGGGACCAGCAGCAGTACATACCAGCTCAACAGCTGCACTAGGTGTAAATACAGCCAAGCACACCCCGACCAAACCCATCACTATCTCTGGCCCCAGACTGAGAAGGATAGAGAAGGGCCACGAGGACAATCAGGAACTGGAACATCTCCTATACAAAGACAGGCTGAGAAAGCTGGCGTTGCTCAGCCTGGAGAAGAGAAGGCTGCATGGAGACCTTCCGGTATCTGAAAGGGTTCTACAAGGATGCTGGGAAGGGGTGATGGGTTTAAACTGAAACAGGGGAAGTTCAGGTTAGATATAAGGAAGAAGGCCTTTACTGTGAGGGTGCTGAGGCACTGGAACAGGCTGCCCAAAGAAGAGGTAAATGCAGTGTTCAAGGCCAGGCTGGACAGGGCTTGGAGCAACCTGCTCTAGTGGAAGCATCCATGCCTGTGGCAGGGGTTGGAACTGATGAGCTTTAAGGCCCCTTCCAACACAAACCATCCTGTGATTATATGACTGTATGAAAAAAGGGGGAACCTTCAGGTAAAGGCGGTGTCATGGGCACAGGAGGGAGGTGAGGAGAAGCCATTGCTCTGCTGCTGTGGCAGGCTCAGGGATGGTGCCCAGACTGTCAATGGCTGGGCTGTCAATGGCCAGGCTGTCAATCAATGGCTATCAATGGCTTTCAGTCAATAGCTATCAATGGCTGGGCTATCAGTTAAAGGCTGTCAATGTCCGGTATGTCAGTCAATGGCTACCAATGGCTGGGCTATCAGTCAATAGCTATCAATGGCTATCAATGGCTGTCAATCAATAGCTATCAACGGCTGTCAATCAATGGCTGTCAATCAATGGCTATCAATGGCTGTCAATCAATAGCTATCAATCAATAGCTATCAATGGCTGTCAATAACCCCCGCCACCACCTCTCTTTGTCTCCCTCACTCCGCTCCCTACCCCCGCCTCCAGGTCACGCGGAGGCGGTGGCTCCGCAGTCACGTGGCGGGGGCGGTGTCATGGCGGCGCCGGGCCGCGCCTCGCGGGCTCGTCGCGGGGTGGTGACGCGGCGGCGGGGCGCGGGGAGGATGGGGCTGTGAGGGCGCCGGACACCCCGCGCCGCGCCGAGCGGGACCAGCGGGCTCCGCACCGGGCCCGCCGCTGCCGTGCGACTCGCAGGAGGCGGTAAGGAGCGCGGCGCTGGGCAGGCGGCCCCGCGCCATGGCCCCGCGCGACCGCGGGGCTCCGGCTCCCCCCTCACGGTGTCTGGGCCTGGCGGGGCGGTGCCCGCGGCCCTCCCCCGCGCTGGGCCTTGCCCGCGTCCTCCCCTGGGCCCGCCGGAGCGCGCAGCACCCGCCGGCCCGCGGCCCTCCTCCCGGCCCCTCTGGGGCGGACCCTTTGTGTGCTCCGCGCTCGGGCCTGGGCTTCCCCGGGCCGGGCACCGCCGCCCAGGCAGCTGCCCCCGGGCGCGCTGCCGGCCCTGGCAGCGGAGCCCCGCCTGAGGGCCGGGGTCCGGGTGTGCGCGGTCCGGTCCCGCCGCCCGGCACCCTCGCTCGTCAGCCGGCGTGCGGCAGTGCCTGCGGTCCCGGCGGTCCGTGCCTTGGTGGGACACCGGCTTGTCACCGTAATAGGGGTGGCAGTCGGGCAGAGAGGTGATTTGTTTGGTAGTGGCTGCATTAACGAAAGGGGTTAAACGGCGCTCGTGAAACTTCCTTAGTGTTAATTATGAATTGAGAGTACGTAGGGATTTTTTCTTTGCTTGTTTTCATTAATTTCGTCTTACTTGTCCGTTAAGGCTATGTTTGTCTTTAAATTTCTATTATTGGTAAGGTAAGTTCTTCTTGGTTTTGACCTTTTCCACAGCAGAGGAGAGACTGCACGTGGACTCCAGGTCTCTCTTAACATTATGCTTCAAAGAGGTGCCCTGTTCTTACAGTGTAGTACAGCTCCAAAAATGAACACTTTTTTTCTTTTTACTTTATTTTTTTTTTTTTTAACTTAAAGCTGGTGACTGTTTTGGGTGTTTTCAAAGAAAAATAAATTAACTAAAAATGCAGGACTTTTGTGTTTAATGCCTTCGTAGGGCCTTCATTATACTTCTGAAAACTTAATGGAAAGTTGGGATAGAAATGCCGCATCTTTTTCCACTCACTGGAATGTATTTGCTGTCAGTGACGTTCTTTAGGCAGTGTTACAGGTTCTGATATGACTTTTCTTCTTTTTTTCTCTGAAGGTAGTGAAAAAGAAAACCTCAAGATGAGTAAAAAGCCTCCCAATCGTCCTGGAATCACATTTGAGATTGGTGCTCGCTTGGAGGCACTGGACTATTTACAGAAATGGTATGGAAGACCTTGTAGTGCTAAGAGCATAATTGTTCTGTCCATATCATGTTTTGGTGTCGAGTTATAAGACCTTGTGCAGCTTTTAACTGGCTGCTTCACATGTGAACTTTATGGATTTCCACATAAGTTGTTAAACCTGTTGGCTTTTAGTAAGAATTCTCTCTTCAGAAACCAAACTAAACTTTGCTGTGGGTTTTCCTTTGTTTGCTTTTAGTTGCTTGTGCAACGCTAGTAAGCGAAGACCATTTCTGAAGTGGTGTGGAATGCGGTGTCATGTGTGAGATGATGGGTGTGTTAATGTGGTAAACTGCTGCGACTGAAGACTTTGGTTTAGTTTAAAGGTGTGCATATGAATGTGTTTTGTATTTGGTTATCAAACTTAAAATCATAGGGAGGTTTGGTTGGAAGGGACCTTAAAGATCATCTAGTTCCATAAGTTCATAAGATGATGTTAACAAAAGAAAACATCCTTAACTGGAATTCATGGACTAGGCAAGTACAATTGTGTTTGTATCAAACAGTTGGAGAAACAAAGTGCTTCAAATAGTGTCTCTGGAACCTCTCAGTCATATCGTGAGTAGGAGTCAAACTATAAAATGGAAATTTGGGCACAAGGACCATGCTACACAGCATGTGTGTTGTGAAAGGAGCTGTTAGCTTGAAATATATTGTTCGTCCAAATGTTATTAATGTAAGTGTGCTGATGTCATGATGTATCCTGGCCGTGCTGTTTCAGTTTGAAGAATCCCTGGTTTTAAGCAGATGACAGAGGAAGTTGATGCTTCTACCTGGAAGTGTTGTTTTAGCTGCTCTCTGATTAATTAGGGCTAGGAAATGTAGAGGCCTGTACCTGCTTTCCAGTTGCATTCCTGGAGATGTATGTTCATGTAGATACCTGGTCCTGCTGACTCCCAAGTTACGTGATAGAGAAATCTGTGTATTATTCACAAGTTTACTCCAGTAGTTACATGCTCTGTATAAAAAGTGGGTTAAACTTTTTATCAGGAGAGCTGTGATTTTAATTACAGGACAAGTGTTTGTTTTAATAAACAGTCTCTAAAGGAAAATGTGGTTTACAGAGCAGTTTTTTGTTCTGACCTGTTGCTGTAGAATGGGTTTTCAACATACCCATTCTATAACTGAATGCCAGGATCATGAAATTAGCTGAATAGTGCTATAAAAGTAAAATCATTTTAACAGAACTTTTAACAGCAACTGTTGAGAATAGAGATAACTGGTTAAAGTAGCTAAATAATGCAAGTTAATATGTAAAAATAATTTTGGCTTAATTGTATCCAAAAACCATCGCTGACTATCTAGTGTGTACTTTGTATCAAGTGTACCCAGCCTTAAGGGTCGGGTGTCAGTTCTGCAGTGCTTGTCTAGCTTTGGTCTTAAGCTCTGCAGCTGAGTTACTTGGTATTTTCAGGCAGAACGGAATTTATCCTCAGCTTTCTAGGAACTGATTCTTCATATGCACCATCAGGTAGAACAGGTCAGGTTTATATGCATCTAAACTTCTGTTGGTGCCATATACATAGAGTTAATATTACAGTCTTGCAGTTACAGCAACACTGAAACCAAGACTATTTCAAATGAAGTAATATTCATGTATGTAACCAAAGAACTTGTGAGAGAAAGCCCACTGTTGTGTTATTAGGGTGACATGGGCTGGAATAATAGTCCATGTGATTTGTTTTCTTAGCCTTCTGTTGCATAGGGGAATGGTGGATGTTTTTAAACTCTTTCTATATATGGTCTGTATACATTCCCTTCATCTGCATGCAGAAATACATACTTCAAAGAAAATAAAAGTTGCTGAACTCACATAAAATCTCTTTATATTTCTTAACAAAACCACAGTTGAAGAGCAGTAGTATTGCTTAGCTCAGTCTTTCTATGAGTGACAAATTAAGAACACTTGCTGAAAAATAGGATTTGAAAGTGGTTTATTTTTTATCCTCCATTTTTCTGAAAGCCTGCTGTTGTGTAAAGTGTTCATGACCAGTTAAAATGTTAATCAAGAAAGGCTTCTAGAGGATGGGAAACAGTGTAGTAAAGTCTGTTTTTTCTTTCTGAAGCACTTTTGCAGGTCTTTTCAATTTTCATCTGTGCAGTACTTGCTGAAATTCACCTGAGGGAATCCGGTGTTCATTTGAGTTCTGGAACTTTGGAGGGGGTTTTGTGTGCCTTGACTATTTATTGCTTAAAACCCCTGTAATTTTAAATGAGGTAGTTTTTGCAGGCAGTGTTTGTGTTGCTGGTATCATTTGGCATGAGCAATTACTGAGCAGAAGAAAGCCTGGTCAAACTGATCAGCAAAGACAGGCTGTCAGTAAGCTTTATTCTGGACATAACAGCAGTGTCTTTATCAACTGCACCAGAGTGCTGCTGCAGGGGGAGGTCATCTTAGACAAGGAAGTCGCTTGTTATTTTGGCTGGTGTCATCTACCTGGACTTGTGCAGGACAGCGTCAAACGCTTTCCACAGCATCCTTGTCTCTAAGCTGGAGAGGCATGGGTTTGACAGATGGACCTCTTGGTGCATAAGGAATTGGTTGGGTGGATGTACTCAAAGAGTTGTGGTCAGTGGCTCAGTGTCCAGGTGACTAGTGATGTGTGGTGTTCTCCAGGGGTTCGTGTAGGGACCTGTCCTGTTCAACATGTCAGTGACATGGACAGTGTGATTGATGCGCCCTCGGTAAGTCTGCTGATGACGTCCAGCTGTGTGGTTCAGTTGATACGCTGGAGGGAAGGGATGCCATCCAGAGGGACCTTGACACGCTTATGAGGTAGCCAGTGCCAGCCTCATGAAGTTCAACATAGGGAAGTGCAAGGTCCTGCACCTGAGTGGGGGCAATCCCAAGCCCTGACGACTACAGGCGGTGCAGAGACTAGATAGGGAGTAGCTCTGCAGAGAAGGACTTGGAGGTGTTGGTCAGTGAGAAGCTCAGCATGAACTGGCAGTGTGCACTCACAGTCTAGAAACCAGCTGTCTTCCAGGCTGTATCCAAAGGAGTAGGACCAGGAGGTTGAAGAGGTGATTCTATCCCATTGCTCTTGTGCGACCCCACTTGGAATACTGCGTTCAGCTCTGGAACATAGGAAGGACCTGGACCTGTTTGAGCAAGTCCAGAGGAGGCCACCAAGATGATAGAAGGGCTGGAGCATCTTTTTTATGGAGACAGGCTAGACAACTGGGCTTGTTCAGCCTGAGGGAGAGAAGACTGAGGAGACCTTACAGCAGTCTTCTGGTACATAAAGGGGCCTACAAGAAATCTGGGGAGGGACTTTTGACAAGGGCATGTAGTGATACGACAAAGGGAAATGGCTTTAAATTGGAAGCGAGGAAATTTAGATTAGATTCAAGGAAGAAATTCTTTACTCTGTGAGTGCTGAGGTGCTGGCACAGGGTGCCTGGAGAAGCTGTGGCTGCCTCATCCCTGGCAGTGATCAAGGCCAGGTTGGATGGGGCTTGGAGCAACCTGGTCTAGTGGAAGGTGTTCCCCCCCCATGGAAGGGGGTTGGAACTGGATGAGCTTTAAGGTCCCTTCCAACCCGAACCATAAATTTAAAGTTCAGTAAAGCAAACTATGTAATGCAGCTCTAATCAAACTCAGGGTCATCTGGCAGCAGTTGGTGAATGAGATGGGATTGACCGATAATAGAAAACTATTAAATATATATGACATGATCTGGTGTGAAAGACCAGTGAAGAAAGGGTGAGGAAACTGGATTTCTTTAGTTTGGAGAAGGCTACAAGAGACTCAGTACCAGCCTTCCATCCTTAAAAGGATGTCATCAAAGGTGCTTAGCCAAGCTCTCCACGGTAGTGTTTGGTTGAAGGGCAAGAGATAACTGGTGGAAGTGAAAACAAGCAATTCAGGCTGGGTACAAGGCGAATCATTTCCCCATGGGACAGTCAAGCAGTGGATCTGGTTGCCCAAAGAGTTTGTGGAGTCTCCAGCATTGGAGGTTTTCCAGACTGGGCTGGCTAAAACTCTGGAAAACGTGGTCTGATCCCATAGCTGACTCTACTTTGAGTGGGAGGTTGGACTTTTTTTGGTAGGAGGCTTTCTGAGGTCCCTTCCAACTTGAATTACCTATGATCTCATCCAAAAACTAATACATGTGCACACACCCCCCCGTGCCTCTGACAGATGAAGCAGCAGTAGAACTGCAGATGTCTGCAAGGAGGTACCCATGTGGAAGACTGTTTTTTAAGCTGTTAGCTCCCACAAGCAGGACACAGCCTCTGCAAAGTTACTGTATTTGAATAAGCTTCTCTTCCCTTTTTTCCCCTGTTTTTTTGTGGCTCTAGCTGTCTACTGGTTGTTCCATAAGCGCTAGATACTGCTTTGAAAAAACCAACCCTCTTAATTTTTCTGAGCCCATAGTCTTTGTTAATCTGCTTGATCTGAACTTTTAAGTTAGGTAATGAAGGAAGTAGAGAGGCATGGTCCTTTGTGCAGTTCTGGAATGGAAACAGCTTACTAAAATAGGTTAGTTATCAGAATAACAGTGCTTTGACTTAGTATATTTGATTACTTAGTTAGATTATTTTAATTAAGTATGGAGGAAGCTTTTTTCCTGAAAGACTTTGGGAAATTCTTTCTTTGTACAGCCTTTACTTTGGATTTTGGTTGATTGGGTTACCTGACAGATATTAGGAAGGATTATAAAGACTGCTTTATGTTGATACAGTACAATATGTATAATTAAAAATGAGTTAGAAATAGGGGCTTACAGATTTTGCAGATGTCTGAAGGCTGTTTGTGGAGGAGTCAGAATGGAGGGTGTTTGGTTTTATATCCCTTACAAGGTGGAAGGAAAGACTTTTTATACCATTATTGCAAAGGCAGGAAGTACATGGCTGTTTTCAGACTTTGTAGGGGCAGACTTGAGGCAAATTTAGTAACATTTTTACATCCATTTTTCCAGTTTGAAAGAACTCATTCCATCTCACAGGACAATTCACTACTTTTTGGTCACTTCTGAAGGATCAAAAGGAAGATGATGATGTAAAAATGAAAAATACCATCCATGTGGCCAGCACCGTGTTGAGTGTGGTGGAGGAGAAAACGGTGTTTTCTTTTTTACACTTTCAGAAACCAAAACCTGGAAGCTTCCCATTATTTTTTCCTAGATGAACATTGGAGCAGTATGGTTGTCTGACCAATGCTTCATAGTGTGCTTTTTGTAAGCCATATTAAACTTTGCAGCTTTACAGAAATGTTGAATAATTCTTATGGGCTGGAATCGCTGGAACCTGAGCATGGAGAGCATGCTGTATGTAAGCTGGGCAAATACCATCAGCTAACAATAGTTTTCCTGTTTTCTCTTGATAAAACAAGAAGAAAACTTCCTGAAATTTGGATGAGACTTTATTTGGGATTATCAAATATTATTTCCAGCAGGCTGTTAAAAAAACACACCTAAAATGTTCAGGTTATTGTTTCTTCCCACAAAACCAACACTGTCAGTGTTGAACAGGAGTTTGGTGGTGTGGTTTAGGTTTTTTCCTGTGAAGAGTAAAGACTTTTTCCTCAGTTTTTTAGAGTATGTTTTTCTGCTTTTTACTGAACAAATGTTGGTAAATCTGTTTGTGTACTAAATCCATTCTGATCCTTTAGTGTGGAGTGCTTGTTGGGTGTGACTGGGGAGAGTTAACTTGACTGGAAGGTTGTTTGGACCTTAGACACTGTTACCCTACAGGTCTGTGGAGAGTGATGTTTGTGTTCCCCTTTCCATTACTTCTTCATAATGCCTACTTGCAGCTTTGCCATGGAAGGGACTTCTACATCAAATTTCTCATGTGAATATGAAGATGGTTACAGCTCATACATCTTCTCTGTACCCGATAAATCTAAACATTGCTTTTAGACACTGTAAACTAGAATTCACTGTATTCACTGTAACTAGAATTCTTGAAAAAGGCTGATTATAAAAAAAAAAGTTGTTATTTTCTCTTCTGTTATCAGGAAATGCATACTTGCCTTTGAAATATTCGCATAACTGTAGGATATGGAATGGCTTATATTCAGTCCAAGCTCAAACTGTAACACCAGAAAAATGTTTCTGTGCAGTGTGAAATTTGGGATAGTAAATTCTGCAATATGTGTGCTCTGCTCTTTTCCACTGTGGGATCAGCATTGTGAAATGTTACTGTTTACACATATTTGTGGCACGTTGTGTGGCTAAATTTAGTGGGTATAGAGGGTAGTAGCTTCTTGGTAAATCCATATAAAGTTATTTTGGGGTTGCCTAAAAACCAATCGTATATAGCTTGGTTGTTTAAGAGATTTGTTACATCTTCTGTCTCTGAGTTGAATGTAGGTTTTGGCTCTATTCATCTTGCAGCCATTGTCTTCAATATACATTGAAGAAACAAATTATTAGAATAAAGCTATTATGTGATGTTATGATTATTATAAGCTTTAACTGTTCAAAACCAACATAATGGATTTAGATTTAGAGCCGATAATGATATTTTAAAAAGACTTTGAGAGCAGAAGTTGTAATTTATCAAAGAGAAATTAGCCAGTAAGTATCTGGTGTTGCATTTCCTCTGTTGAGTGATTCCTACTCAGACTTAATATTTTGTATGGCTTTTAATATTAACTGATGTTGGCTTTGCTTCTTTTATTCCCCCCCCCCCCCCATATGTATTAGTGTTTTCATTCTTGGCTTGCTGAATTTTCCTTAATTCCCATTTTTATGTATATGTGTCTCTAACCTACAGATGTTTACTATGTTTACTATACTGTATATGTTATTCCCCCCTTTTACTCAATTTTCCCTTTCCAGACCATTGTACCATATTTTGCCAGTTTGTCCCTTCTAGTGTTTTCTAAACACAGGAATAGTGGGTAACTTTGCTGGTGATGCCCAGTGAAAGCTACCAGCCATAACAGCAATAAAAATGTAGCACCATAATGGGAACAGAGCATTTGCATTGTAGATGTGTAGGAAGAGGAGAATTGTATCTTTTGGCCGATGGTTCCTCAACTGAGTAAAATCAGTGTCATTTTGCATCACTACCCGTCTGGCATGTGATAAACCTGAAATTTCCAACTGCAGTAAGAAAGGAATGGGGATTGATCTTGTTGCTCCTCTGACAGATGTCACGTGGAGTAGTTCTATCCTGAAAAAGGTTTTGTTAGTAGGATGGCAAATGAGAGTCTGCAATTTGAGACTAAGACTTTATTTTGAAGTTCAGTGAGAAGTTGGGAACTTGAAAGGATGGCTGTGAAGATATTTTGTGTTTCTGAAATGTATGGATGAGTGAAACCCAGAAGAGGCTGGACTGTCTGTGTGTTCTGATGTGAGAGTGAATTGTGGCTGAAGTAGTTGCAGAAGTAATCTAGAAAATCATAGAGTTTTTCTCACTTAGGCACACATGAGATACTTAGGTGTTAGGAAGCTGTATGCATCACTGCAGCTGAAGAAGTATGGCTGGAGAAATGAAGGAGCAAATTGAGATTGACACCTTTTGTTTTAATGCCCAGTTCTAGACACCAGGAAATAAGGAAAGCCTGTATCTGCTGGGAACTTGTACTTTAATCAGAACAGAGTGTCCAGAACTGCTTTATCAGCAGCATCAGTGGTTTGGAGAGAAAGTATTAAAAATTGAAAATGTTGACAGTGTTCCTGTATATGGCAGTTCCTAGGTGCTGGAATTTGCAGTAGGACTGGAAGTTGGGTGCCCAGGCTCTGCTCTCTTACTATTACTCCACAGCAGCACTTTGTTAGAAAAACAAGTTGCCTCTTAATGAAAGACAAGTGTCCCTTCCCTGTGATCTTTCTTTTCAATACATGTTTTAACTTGAGACCATCGCTAATACAAACTGGAGAAAGCTGAATCATGTACTTAACTTTTTCTTTTAGGAGAGTCTTTGTACTTTTGAATCCATTTAAATACTTTGAAGGGCAGCAGGACCTGAATTCTGCCTCATTCCAATTCTCTGCATTTCATACAGTGAAAATAATGAAATCTAATAATATTGGTGAAGCAAGTTGTGTGAGAGAACCAGTTTGTGCCTTGCTCTCTGACTGCAGTTTTGTGATTTACATCACTTTGGGGAAACAGGAATATTGAGACTGAATAATAACAATTGCTGAAGTTAGAGAAGTTTGTCTTTTTTTTTCCCCATACAGGTACAGTCTTAACCTTTATGGTTCCAAATCTGTATCTATTCTACACTCAAAATTAGATGCCTAAGACTTGTAGTGGTTGCAGCTCCTTCCTGATTAGTTCTGCTGAGCACAGACAGTGTTGGCTGAAAGTAAAATCCGTGTGTTAAATAAGACTGACATGCTTATTTTGATGCATGTGGAGTTAATGACTGCTAAAAAATAGTTACTATGAACCGAATTGAATGGCAGTGAAATCATGGAAGCTGATCTATAAATTAGTAAGCGGCTTTGATTAAGAATATTCTGTTGAACATTCTGGGTTTGATTAGTTGATTGGGTTTGTCCAGAATTGATGGTAAAGTAATGAATGTTTTACTCCTATTATAAACTATTTAATACTCTTTCCACCCCCAAGCAAGCACAAACTCTTACAGGATTTTGCTTTAGAGAAACACAGTTTTTAAAACTGATAAGGACAAACTTCTAATGCCAGTTTCAGGCAGTTTTGGTCTGGGAGTTTGAGGTTTAAGTTCGTGTGTGATCATCTGACTAGAATGAAGCTGATGTCCTGTTGCTGGTGTGTATAGATGACTCTTAAACTAAATGGTCTCCTACCATCAATTGGTAACTTCATCTTTTTGAGACTTGGAGATTTCTCGGTCCAAGGTGTTCATATAGGTTTCTCAAATGTCATGTAAGCACTGTTGTATGCCAAAAAAAGTAGGAACCTTTAAAAAATACTTGAGATTTATCAGTTTAACTTTATCACTCAAGGTATCCATCTCGTATTGAGAAGATAGATTATGAAGAGGGGAAGATGTTGGTCCATTTTGAACGATGGAGTCATCGTTACGATGAGTGGATTTACTGGGACAGCAATAGGTTGCGACCCTTGGAGCGACCAGCATTAAGGAAAGAAGGGCTAAAAGATGATGAAGAATTTGTTGTAAGTGGTCCTTTTATTTAGTCTTTGACTTGTTTTTGTAAACTGTCCTACCTGTTTTCTTACGTAAAATCTATCCCATAATGTCTAATTATTTTAATATTTTTCCTAGAAATATTAATGACTGACTTTGTATAAAATAGGATTTTAAACCTGGAGAAGAAGTACTAGCTCGTTGGACAGACTGTCGATACTACCCTGCAAAGATTGAAGCAATTAATAAAGAGGGTATGTATTTGTGCATGATCTGTTGGTAAGGACTCTTTGCATATGTTATGCTGTAGCTGTAGTCTGCTTATGTGACATGCATATAAAGTTTTCCTCACTGCCTCAATATTCGGTGAAAATGTTTCTATTCTATGCAGTTGAGTTAGAGGTTTGTCTTTTATCTGTGTAAAATTAGAAAATTGGAATTCCTTCTGGAAGAAAAAATGCTTTGTTTGTTCAGTGATGAGAATAAAGTCCTGTGCAGAGTGTTACAAATGTTTTTGTACTATTGTTGATTTAATAATAACATATAGTAAATAAAACAGCATAATACTTTGTATATTATATATTATATATGATCTATATTGTATATCACACTACATATTACATATTAATTATATTGTATATTTATTATAATATATAATAATGTTATTTAAAAGTTCATCCTTGTTTTAGGTGTGTAAAGTTCTGTTTATTGACGAAAAACAATGGAAACAGGGAAATAAAGGTTAATGCTTTAGATGCAGTACTTCGCATGGGGTGATATTTCTCATGAACATTAGTAAAAGTTTTTACTATAGTTTAAATGAGGATTTGATTGTAAATTGACTTGGTTTCCTATTGTGGCAACTTAAATATGACGTAATTCTTTCAATGAGGTACAAGAAAAAGTGACACAGTAGCTTAAACATGCTTGAAATTGTCCAAGTGGATAAAGAGTAACAATGTAAGAACAGGGTTTCATTGAGATTTTTTTTCTTTAAATTCTATATCCTGACTATAGGTAACTTGGTTACTTTGGTCATCCAGCCTACAAAATATTTTGCTAAAGCTTTCATAGTAACAAGGTGTGTTTTGTTTCTTAACTACTCATAGTGACTACTTCACTCCTTTTCTAGGAACCTTCACAGTACAGTTCTATGATGGTGTTATTCGATGTCTTAAGAGGATGCATATCAAATCTATGCCAGAGGATGCAAAAGGACAGGTAAGAATAATTTAGGTATCTTTGCTAGGTTTTATATAGGTTCTTTTTCTTTAATATCTCGAGTTTGAAAAAGTGTCACCTAGCACAACTAGTTTTAGATTACAGTCTTTATTCTAGGTCCTGCACTGCCTTGCTTCTCCAGTTTTATGGATGATGCCCCAGAGTGTGCTGCTCAAGTAGCCTTGCCTCTATCTGAAATGCCTGGCTGCCATACAGTCCACTGCCAACTAATCTGTTCCCAGAGTTTCCTCCTGCAGAGTTCAGAAAACCAGGGGCATCCAGAGACTTTTTTTCTCTGGTGCCCTTCCAGTAAAAAGGTTCAGCTTGTCAGTAGTCTGTGCTGCTGATTATTATTGTTTTTTTCTTCTCCACCCCATCTGTTTGCTACTTTGGTAGCTTTTTGCCCACATGTTCTTACTGACATGACTGTTCTGTGGGGTTTTCTCCCTTTTATCAGAACTTTTGGGGATTCAGATAGTTAAATATTTCTTTATTTCTGATAATGTCCAGTTTCTTAAAGAAGAGATGCTGAGTAGGAGCTGAGGGAGGCTGTGAAGTAGAATATGTGATTTAGTCACTAGGAATATCTTCACTTGCAAAGGAAAACAGCATTGAAGACTTAATCTTAAACTGAAATCCATAGTCACACTAACACTGGCTTCTTGCTGCAGTCTTACAATAACTGTTGAACCAGTATATAATATTTCAACAATACTTTATTAGGAGAGTAAGATGGGAAGCTAGAGTATTCAACTTTACTCCATAAAAAGGAAAACTTGATTCATGTGGTTGTAACTGAACTGAAATATCCCTTCTGTGACAATATAAAGAAGTCCCTTACTCTGTCCTGTGCTTTTTATAGGAAACTATGTTGTGTCTAATCTTGAGTTACTACTCTTAGGCCACAGGCATTTTCAGCTTTAAAATAAATAGTAAATCCATTTCTTAGCAGCTGTTTTGATGTCCAGACATGCTTGGTGGCAGCCCAGCTCATCTGCTCTTTCCAATTCTTCTCATTACTGAAAGTTAGGTTGTCAGTCTCATGCATCTCAGGGACTGAATGCATGGGCTTCAGTGAAGTTTTGAGAAAGAGCAAGGGGGCCAAATCTGCACTTTCCAAGATTGATTTTTGCAAAATTAGGGATAGGCATGAAGTTCCGTAGCTTTCAAAGGCAAAGCTATTTTTTTTCTGCAACATGTCATATGTCATTGTGCTATGGTAAAAGTTTGTTTTTAAAGATGTTTCTGTGGTATGTAAGAATACAACCATAATCATAGAGTCATGGAATGGATTGGAAGGGACCTTAAAGATCATCTAGTTCCAATAAATATCTAAGATTTGGTTGGAAAATCAGTTACTGGAAACTGAGCTTTGTCTAAGAGTAGAACTCAAATGGCCGTTGTTGCTTTTTTGCATTATTTATTTTTAAGGACATTTACTAAAATTCATTTAAAGCTTAAAAAGATGCCAAGACTGTACTTGATTTGCAAAATAGTGAAGCTGGCAGATCCAGCACTTCATTAAACCTATGACTTGGGGTTTTTGTCTGTTTCCAAAAGGGGGAAAAGTACATCTCAAGAGATGAGTGTAAGCTTAAGGCATTTCAAGTTCTAGTGCATTAGCAAATTTAGCATGTAAGATCTGTTTAGAAGGTGTGTGCTAAGCATGCAGAATTTGAATTACATGGAGAGATTATCGACTAGTTAATTCTTTGATTTGAGCTTAGTGTGTCTTGAAAAGATTATAAACACTGTAACACTCAAACTACTGAGTTTCAGCAGAAGTGTGTTTTATTAAGACTCAGCTGTGAGGATGGATTAAAGACTGGAAAATTTGTGTGGTTCAATGCAATAAGACTATAGGTTAAATTGCTGTGCAGATAAGCACAAAGTCATTGAAATCGCACATAAACGTGGCTAATGTAGAGAGAGAAAATAAAAGATGGGGATATTGAGACTGCCCTTGTGAGAGCACATGTGAAGTATTCGGATAACTTACTTTTTCTGTTTCATGTTTTTTGTTTTATCTTCGATGTAATTAGGCGCGCGAGAGGGAGCAGATAGCGCCGGAGCTGAGATTAGTGACGGAAATCGAACCAAAAGAAGTGAGTTTTGAGGAGGGTTTTGAAGGAGAGGGAGGGGACTTGGCACACAGGAAGAGGAAGCTGAGGAAAAAGCATGGATTTGCGATTGGAACAGAGGAAAACAAGAAGATGTGACAGGAGACAATGTGAGCCAAGATGTAGGTGGGGCAGACTGTTTAGAATTGAAAGGTGAAGGTGAGGAATCCAGGCTTGCTGTGGAATCAGCCGGTCAATAGATTGATGATATTTTATATGTGTGTATGTATGAGTGTGTGGGAGCTGGGAGTTGTGAGGTGTCAGGAGAGGAAAACCAGCTGAATCTTTAGTACTGTAGATAAGCACAAAGGTGGTGGTTGTAGGCAGGTGGAAGAGTGTGCGTGCGTTCTGCTATTGGTATAAGGGTTGGATGTTAGAAATCATTCTGGTTTTGCCTTCTTATCTTGTAGGTTTAAGGAATGTTTTAAAATACAAGTGTTTTAGCCAATGGATGTGTAAGGCTGTGGGTAATTTCTACTAATGTCTTTCTTGATCGTGCAATTTCCTGTGCTTTGATTTAGTGAATCTAATAAGTAAAATGACAGTTTTCCTCAGTAGGGATAATGTTTTGTCTTCTAACTACAGTGTCCCATAACTTCTCTCCTGTCAATTTTCTCAGCTTACTTGAAAGGTGACCTTTAGTGAGAATAAAAAAGGAAATGTGCATTTATATTTTTATGGTGTATGTAAATGAGAAATTCACTGGAGTGAGATCCTGTGGGAAGTGGGAAATCGGGCTGGATGGTGCAGAGTAACTAGTCCGGAGTTACAAAACCACAGCCAATAGAGGAACAATGTCAGGGCGTGAGGGAGGAATAGGGAAAACTTCTCTTAGGAGGATGTTTATTTTACTTAATTTCTAATGTGTTCATATTTGGGCCCTTGGCTTTGTGTATACTGAATGCTTTGGGGAAAAGTCCTGCTACTAAGGATTTGTAACTGGTTTCTGTGATATTTAGTGTCCTGCTGTTGTGGTTGACAGATACCTCAGTGACCGAGACAGATTTGTGAATTCATTGTGCTTTAGGCTCCCACTGTTATTTCCCCATTTTTTATTTCTTTCTGAAAATTCTGAAAAAGGCACAAACATCTTTTTGAAGGACAAGTTCCTGTGCTCTTCAAAAGAAATACAGTCACCTTTAGCATCTTAGGTGCTGAATAGTTCATGCACATCAGGAGCTGTGCAGGTGAGCAGTTAGCAGGAGTTAAAGGCTGAAAAACAGGAATTACCTGTGTCACTGTAATGAATGTGTTCACTTTGGAGCCAGAATAAAAATGGACCCACAGACTTTCCAGCCAATTCAGAATCACAGAACTGTTGAGGTTCGAAGGGACCTCTTGAGATAATCTTGTCCATTCACCGCTCAAGGTTCCCTTCTCTGACTTTAAATTTGTATGTTAATTCAGAAAAAAGTATAACCATCACCGTAATTAATGTCTCACTGCTCTGGCTTCTGGATGTTTAACCTTGGTTTGCTTCATTGTTTTGTGTCTTGCTGCCCTTTGTAAGCTCCATGTCCTAAGGAAAGTATCCAAACAATGAAATACAATGCAAACAAAATGCTTCGTGTTGTACCAGAAAGCTACTATTGGAACAGGACGCTTAGTTCAGGGTGCTCCTTGAAGCTTGATGTCTTCTGAAAGCTTCTGACTTAAGGGTGCTTAGCTTGACTGAAAATAAAAATGGTGTTTTGATGCAGGCTGCATTTCCTTTGCTCCACGCTTTTATTATACGATCAAGCTCCAGACATATTACTGATCCTCTTCATCCCTTGGCCAGGGTACAGTGTAAGACTTCTCTCAGGTGTTTCTAACTCCTCACCAGCACAAATAGCTCAATCCTTTTTTTTTTTGTCCTGCTGGATGGACAAGGCTCTGGATGGACTGGAGCTAATGTGTGTGCTTGTTTTGGCTGGCCAAAACCAGGTATGTGTATTTCTGGTTGACTATGCAGCTGGCAGTTAAACATGCTCTTTGTGGCTGGCACGTCGCTAAATGACTTTGATGGTTGCCTGTTGTGTAAGCATTGCCACAGCACTTCCAAACTTTGCTTCTGCTAGCTAGACTGAGCATATGCATCTTGCACTGATGGTTTGGACACAAAACACTTAGTCTTGGAGGAACCAAAGCTGTTGGTGTTCCTAAGTACATAGCTTGATGCAAAGTGGAAGCATAACCTATGTAAAGCAGTGATTTAAAAGCATTGAGCTATGGGAAAGGAAAAGCATAAAACAAGGAAAAGTAATGCTTTGTATTTTGTGTTATGCTTTTCTTACACATCAAAGAAGGCAAACAAACCCTCAGTAGTCTAGATATTAGGGAGACTTACAATGTGTAATGAGTGAGACAGAGTTGTGTTGAAACAAGATTTATAAAAACAAGATCCTTTAGGTACCTCATATGATAACGTAACAAGGAAGGTCCAGCATAAAATATAGTCTGTCTACAGCTGGAAAATACCCCAACTATTTATAAAGTTCACATGTGAAGCTAAGCAAAAATTGTCTTTATGAAACCTTTTTTTATATGTGGGTAATACAAACCTCCAAATGCTCTTGTAGCCAAATTGCCAAGTGGTAAATTAAGTATCATTAAAACCACTCAGACGCTTAATTCTTACTGGTGGAGGATGAACGTTACTCTTGGTTTTTATACCACATGTAACTTCTCCATGGAAAAATTCTGTACATTGATGTAATAGAAAATCTGGAGAATTACTTTGGTAAAAAGGATCAAGTTTAAATTTTTGCTATCACATTGATCCCTGACATTCAGGAGATGTAAGGCAGGAGTCTGATCACTCCAAACTAGTGGAAATTGCTTGGCTCAGCCTTGGAAGTATTTGGATCTCTCTGACTTGTTGGGTGGCTAAACTTCATCCACATGCCAAAAAGTAAATTAATTTGGGCTGTATATTCTGTTGTTTACTCCTGGAACATTTCTGTATGGTCAAATAAGCCATTGTTCAAAATGGCACTTTTATTACTTTCAGTGTGGATTGTGAAATTCAGTCATATTATAGAGCGCTGTATTGAAGTTGGTCAATGAAAGTTATAGTATGTACACAAAAAGAGTGCTACCTGTAGTTACTCTAGAAACACAGATCCAATTAAATAAGAGTTACCCTGCTTTATCAGTTGAATTCAGGAAGAACTCTGGTGGACCATGCTTTGAGTTGACGGTAGTTTTGAATAATAGTTAAATTTGAGCAGCAATGGAGTTGGTGCATTTCACAGCCAGAAGGGTAAGAACAAAGTCAGTTTTCTGGGTGTGGGAGCTCCTGGGTTTCTACAGCTATGACACATGAAAATAGATAGCAGGGAACATGTGCATCCAGAATCCTATGCATTATGTTTTTTTTGAAGGTGTTTTTGCTTTTTATCCATGTGGCATACTTCAAGTTTATTTGGGAAACTCATTTCATCACTCTCTGAGTAGTAGCCATAAAAAGGATTTCAACTGCTCTTGAACATTTCTAGATGAAGTTTCACTGGGTTTATAGGTATTTTCTATTTGAATCTCAGGCACTTTTTAATACTTACCATTTTTTCCTTTTTGGAGGATTGGATAGCTTTGGTCAAAGCTGCTGCTGCAGCAGCAGCCAAGAACAAAGCAGGAAGTAAACCTAGAACCAGCGCAAACAGCAATAAAGATAAAGAGGACAGAAAATGGCTAAAAGTTCCTTCAAAAAAGGAAGAAACCTCAACTTCTACAATCATGCAGGAAGTCCAAAAAAAGGAAGAGGAGCCTACATCTAGTGATACATTTGGTAAAAACAAATTCTGTAAAAGATAAAAGTAGGCTTATCTGTAATGTTAAACTCGAGCTCCTGTTGTTAGTTTTGCTGTTAAGTCATAACTAGTATTTCTTGAGGAAGATGTCACATTTGCTGTTATGATAACTTTATGATACATAACAATCAGTTCAGAAACAATTTTTATCAGGCAAATCTAGTTTGGTCATCATTTACTCCTTGTGCAAAATCTTACTAGCTCTAAGAAGAGCAGAACCTACGGGTTTTTTAAATGACTTTGTTGTACGCTATGGTTCATGTTCCTGCATCTTCTGTTACCTGTAAGGTAATCCTTGATCTTGTGCTAAGAAGAAAATCCAAAACCAGTACGAGTCATATATGCATATTCAGGGATGTTTGAAACTATCTGTGGGATGATTAGAATTTGTTCATTTTAATAGTCTTTAATACTGATTTCTCATCCTATTGAGTAAAAATTGCATTTTTGAGGTAGTCTGCATCTAATGCTTCGTTGTGTAATACTAAACATTGTGTAATTTTCATTTTTAATAGTTTTAAAGTTTCTTTACAGCAGTATTCAAATAGCAGTTCTGAAATATTAAAGTATTGTGGGTGTTGTTATGTATTTATGAAACGTGAGTTTATTAGATTTCTCTTCTGTTTAATAGTAGGATTTCCTGTAGTGGATGTTCCAAAGATGGCCTTTGTGCAGGCAGAGAGCACGTTATCACACAAGAGGAAAAGTAATTTAGGCAACTCATTTCAGGCAAAGAGAGCTCGTCTTAACAAGATCACTGGTAAAATACTTTTGTTGTTGACTTTTTTCCTTTTCAATGTAGTGAAATACACGTGTTTATATCTAAGCTACTGAAGCAGATTGAGAAAAGCATGTTCATGAGGCAGATATTCACTACAGTCTTTTACTTGTTAGGAATTTAAAAGGAAGATATAAAGGGTAATAAAATCTACATAGTTCATGATTTCAGAGAGTGGTCTCAAACTTGATTTGGTTGTTTCAGTTTCTTAGGAAGGTTGCCATCCTGAACTGATGGATTTCTTGAGTAGGTTTTAACTCTAGCTGCACAATTTTCTCCACTTTAATGTGAATTTGGGGTTTGTCCAACTCCTTAACAGGGTCATAACCACTGTAAAGCTTTTGTTGGCTGTGGAAAAACTAAATGTTTTGTCAGTTTGTCATAAAGTAAAACCGTTGCTGGAAAGAGTTTACAGTCTGTCTTTTAAAAGTGTACAAACCTAGCTACAAATTGAAGCAATGGAGATCTGAAACTTTATTTCAGTGTCTTAAGGCATTTGTTCTCTTATGTTTATTAGTCAGAGGTGTTAACGGAGAACAAGTATACGGCTATTGAATACAGTTTATGTAACAGGAAATGGAATAATAGATAATTACATTTCATTCCAAAAATCAATAGAAATTGACTTAGCAGTGAAAAGACCTATTTCAGTTTGTATCCCTCCTCCCCCATGCCTCCCAGTAAGCAAATTGTGCTGTCGGCATTGATCCTGTCACTGCTTAGGATGAGGCAATGTGTTTGCACCTGTGCTGGGAAATTATCAGATGCATTTCAAAATATGAGTGGATAAAAGTTGTGAAGTCCCCCCCTGTAGCAGAGGGGCCTTTGGACAGATGGTAAGATACAAGTACATCCCTCTCATTATTCTAGTAACTACAGTTTTGTGTGAAGTCTGGCAAAACTCTGTGCTGCAGATGAGAGGGGAGGGTTTGTTTGTTTATTGTAGTAGATAGGGTATTGTCATTCACAGGAAAAGTCTTATTTCTATAAGATACCCCCCCCACCCCCCAATTAATAAACTGTGTGATGAGATTCTCAGATTTGTTTTGGCTGGTCCAACCTTTCATCAGTCAGCAGTGGAGGACACTTAGCTCTCTTATGAGTGTGGTTCTGTTTCAGTGTCTCAATCAGTACTTCAGTCTAAAGGAGAAAACACATGAAATGGACTAATATGGAATATGATATGAAGGAAGCAGCTTTCAGTAAGGACAATTCTGCCGCCAGGATTTTCTTTCCTGGAAGGCTTCTTATTTGGTACCAAGTTTAGTTAACAGATGTCTGATTTATCAGCCTCATTGCTACGTTCCTTTGCCCATACTGTATACACCCTCAGTTAAATCCCAATTTAATCGCTGCCATGAGCAGTAGAGGTGTAAGATTGTAAATATGTATCACTAGTGTGTGTACATTCACATATATGTAGCCCTATCAATTTCTTTCCTTTGACAGCTAGTAGCAGAAGATACCTAAACCAGGTGAAAAACCTGTGACCCTAGAAATTACATTTGTATCTGCTTGTGGATAGATTCTTCCTTCCTAAGGAGCTTTGTGAGAATAACAGCAGGCAGACAGGGTCATGTAGACTGTACTTCATAGTCAGTAAACATATCTTGCAGCCATTCTAAAAACAGCGTGTCTATGTATCTATGAAATCATGTTCCACTAGCAGACAATATGTTAACTTTCAATGGAAATGAAGTAGTCCTTCTAATTACAAGATGAAATTTGTCATGCTTGGCAGTTACTTTGCTTAACTGTTTTCAAAATAGCACTTTTGCAACTTGTAATTGTTTTTATTGTTGCATATAATGAAGTATTTTGCAAATGTAACTGCTGATGATCAAACTTTCCCTTGCTACATGCTTTGCTTATTTCTTATGCTTTGAAATACTTGTAAATTGCCATTTGTGTCTCTGGCATGAATTTTTGGATTTGAGGGAAGGTTGGGATTTATGCTGGTGTACCCATCGGAATGGCTACCAAAAAGTGATAAAGCATTGTAGCTGTTAGGAAAACATTCATTTACTAAGTGTCTTACAGCTGTATTGGGAAAATAGAGCAATAGGCTGTCTGAAGGGTACTGCCTTCTGGATTTCAATTCAGCATTCAGTAATTGTTGCAGAAGGTTCTCCTTGTTTTGCCACAAGGGACACAGCTGCATCTGGTGCTCTTTGCTCACCATTTCCTTCCTTTACTCATTTTTCTTCTGCTACTGTCACTGGGGGAAATTATATTTCTCAAAGTTGAAGGATGTCTCCTGCTAAGCATGTGTTAACGTCTTCTTCACAGTATAGTTGTCTCTGTTGGAAGGCTTGCTTCGACATCTCCTTCTGCAGTGTTGATACCTAAAAGCTAACATCTGCAGCAAGCTTACAGAACAGAATGTTTCTAGTTCACTATGCCACCTCATGTTCTTAATTTGTTAGGTGTTAATGATGGAGGATGGTGAACTGTAGTCCTGCTGCTGTAGGAGATTATGGAATTGTTTTGTCTTTCTACAGGCATGGTGATTGGTTAGAAAGGTACCTAAAGAGGTAGAAAACAAGGAAGTAAGAAGGGTTATGTGTTCACAGGTTTGACAGAATGTAGGTTCATTTCATGGCTTTACTTTTTGAGCACTGAAAATCAAGCTAAAATGATAGTCCTAAAATCATAGGATGGTTTGGGTTGGAAGGGACCTTAAAGCTCATCCAGTTCCAACCCCCTGCCACAGGCAGGGGCAACACTTTCCAATAGACCAGGTTGCTTAAGCCCCATCCACTCTGGCCTTGAACACTGCCAGGGATGAGGCAGCCGCAGCTGCTCTGGGCAGCCTGTGGTTTGTAGAACCACAAAAGCTGCCTTATGGACTGTAATTTGTTGTTTAGTGTTTAAAACTCTGCTTCACTTAAGTTTGAAAATTATTTCATTCTTTTTATTGTAGGTGTAGGATTGTCAATATGAAGAACATTGCTAATTTTGCAACTTGATTTAAACTGGATTATTTGAGTCATAGATGTTTATTTAGGTCCATAAAGCCTATATGTTTTATGAGGCCTAATGCAGAATTCATATCTTAACTGATAATTTTATTCATAGTAGTGTAATAGGGCTAAGTAAGCTTCTGCTTTTCAGTTAACCTATTTAGCTGTGAAATCAATTAGTTTACACCTTTTCTTATGGACAGAGTGTTCCGAAAAAGTTTTAAATAAAACATAACTATTTTTCAGTAAACTGAGTATAACTTGATCTAACGTAAAGAATAAATGAAACAAAGCACCCATTATTTATTGTGGAATGCTGAAATGTGATAGCTCTCTAACAAAATACCACAGCGTTTTGGGCGCATGTTTGTTTTAAAGTCCTACATGCTTCCCAAGAGCCCAGGCTTCCCTAATCTGTAATTCCATGGGTATTGTGCGCTGTAAATTAATTTTGAGCATACCTAATTTTTCATGAAAAGCAATAGGAATTTCTCATGGATTTGTCAGTTGAAGTTGTTTTTGAGAACTTAAACTCTCCACCTCCATCACTGACATTCTGAGGGATTAAAGAGTAGCTTTTATTCAGATTTATGTATTTTAGGTTTTATCAGTTCTGCTTTGTCTTTCGGCACAGAACTTTTTCTTTCTTTTCATACTTTGAAGTTCATACTTGAAGTTCATACTTGAAGTAACTTCATACTTGAAGTTACGGTGTGAAGTACAACTGAAGCTGTTGTTATACTCTTAGCCCGCAGCAGAGTTTGTCTCGTGCCTTACAGATTTCCTCTTGTAGTAACAGTGGTATAGTATGAGCTCATTAATGAAGTGACAGATTCTGATGTATTTGCTCCCAATGCAGTGTCATTATTGAGGTAATTGGGGAACTCCACTGCTGACAATGTTAATTGGAATATTAAAACCTTTGTTGCATTCTGTCTAAGAAAGGTCTGTATGTGTTAAGAAGTAGTAATACAACTTCTGATGGGATTTTCTTAAAGACCAGAAAGGGGAAAGATAGCAAAGTCTTCTAAATAATTTGAATCCCTCAAAACTTACTTACATATCATAGGCTTGGTTTAAAAGCCCAAGTGCTTGGGCTGTAAAATGATGGTGAGGCATAATTTTACAATTTATAAGTTGATTTTCGTCTTTTCAGTGGAAATGCCAGAGAAGTGCCCCTTGTGAAAGGACAGCATCATGGGAATGACCTTCACCTTTTTGTTTCTTCTAATTTAACGTGTTCAGTTTTATGGGGAGCTGTTTCAGAGGGAATTATGTTGTAGATATAAGCAGCTCATATTTCTTGTCTTATTGGTTTTGCTTTGTTTTCCACAGATTCTTGTTGCAAGCTGCTTCTAACTATAAATCTTTGCAACTTCTCTCCTAAGGTTTATTGGCATCCAAAGCTGTTGTTGCGGATGGTGCTGAAAAAAAGGAAGGCAACAAAGAAACAGCTCCAGTCCTGGAGCAGGTATGAAATGGTAGAGTTTGATTCTTTTGCAAAGTTCCCACTGGAGTGTGCCATGGAGATGTAGTACCTACAACATTAAAATTTACCCCTTCAGGTATAACAGGGAACTGAAAATTGATCTTGTGTTTACATTTCTGGCAGAGCCAGAAGGACGGAATTTAGTTGTCTCTAAACACAGTGTTGACTTGAATTTCAATAATGAGCTTTTTTGTTAGAAAACTTAGAGAATCATAAAATCATAGAATGGTTTGGGTTGGAAAGGACCTTAAGATCATCCAGTTCCAACCCCCCTGCCATGGGCAGGGATACCTCACACTAAACCATGCCACCCAAGGCTCTGTCCAACTTGGCCTTAAAAAAACCCCAGGAAACGGAGAAAAATGAAGTCTCGATGCAGCAACTGTGAGGAGACCAGTGACCCAAGGTCCAGTCTTATAGCTGGAGCCATGACTGGCTTAGGAAAAGGCCCTTACACAAATTAAGTTTGTGTTTGCAACAGGGTTTTTGACATCCTGTAAACTTCTTTTAAAAGAAGTTTCTTTTCTGTTGTTAAGATTTTGGTGTTGTAGGCTTGTATGTGTTTTACGAACTGCTCAATGAGCCATACATTTTGCAAGGGTGTGTATTTTAATAAATACAAAAAGGAAACTTTTAAATAATGTTAAGGGTCTGATTTTTAAACCTGCATATTTGCAGGACCTGAAGGCTGCCATTTTATCTTTGGCTTATTCCATTGTGTTCAGGCATTGCTTGACTCCGAGTTGTGCATTATCTTGCATATTAAAAGGGCTGAATGCCTAAGCATGGTAAAGCAAGCTAAGGATGAACAAGTAGTCTTGATTCAGGACATCTTTGCTTTCCAGTGATTTAAATCAGAGCCTTAATGTAGTTTTAATACAGCTTTTTTGTATTCATTTTCATTCTTCTTTAACAGCAGCATGTGTATAAACCAGCCTTGCTGCCCGCAATTCTTAAAAGAGCACTTCTGTTCTTAAGCCCCGGCACACTCTATGAACAGTCCCTACCCCAACCCTTATTAGCTATTTTGGTTGTACTGGTTCTTTAGAGCTGATATATAATTGCATTGCTGTGGTTTTTTCCATTGGCACCGCATTGGATGCGAGTCTTGTCAATGGAACATGGTTTTCTGTTTTTAATGCTGTCACTGTAATGGCGAACCGAGCCACTATGGTGTCAATGCATTGACTGATATTTTGCATAAAGGTTTACAATGTATTGACATGACATTCCATTTCTCAAATTTTTTGCATATTAAAGATGCTATGATTTTTATTGCTACTGTGTGTGATATTTTCAATGTGCAAAAAACTGTGAAATGGCTTACAGCATGTTGTTTTTGGAAGAATCATTACAATGTAAATCTTACCATGCAGAATCCCATTGTGGTGAATGGGACTTTGTGGTTTACATAGACTGTGTATGCAACAGTATAAACTACAGTGCATATTTACTAAACACTTTTTGTTACTTCTTAGTAACTCGGCTGTTTCTGTTTTATTGACTAGATATACAAAAGATGTCTCTGTGATTGTTTACATGCTAATGGTCTGAAAAACCTCATTTTTGGAAATACTTAGGAAGCTCCTTTAAAGAGGCATCGAAAATCCCAAATTGTCCTATTCCTTCGCTTCCAACTAAAACCAGAAACCTCACAAACATTTCCATGATTAACTGTGGGGAGGAGAATTTTTGAGCTTGAAGCTTTTTTCACTATGTTCCTCCCATACTCCAATTAAAATGGCCGAGTTAAAACCTTCCCAAAAAGTTTTCCAGTAGCAAAGCTGACATTCCTTAGAGGTTTTGTCTGCCACTGCTATAAAATTGAATGGGTAAAATATCTTGTAGGGTTTTTTAATACTGTCGTACAGAACATGGTAGAAGTATTCAGGCCAGTAGCCGAAAACTGACTTTGTTGATGGAAATTTATTTTGTTTCTATTTATATCTTTTTAGTTTACAGTTGTCTTAAACCCAAAACCTCAGACGATTAGTTGCAGATAGTTTATTTAACTGTATTAGGGTATGTCATGTTATATTTCCTTTTGACCAAGACCTGATTAGTTGAATAACATTATTTCATTAAGGTTTTTAATGTTAAGTTGTCCTGTTAAGAGGTTAAGCACCTTATCAAAATATTAATTTAATTTTTTTAATCTTGTTTAAATAACTTTGTAATTTGAAAGTAATGGATGCTGTAGTAATGTCTTTCACATCTGTGAAGATGACCAATAAAATTGTTTATTTACAAGTTACGACTCTAATTAATTTCTGGTAATACCTCTCATAACCAGCATAGGTATTCTCTACAGTTCATGGAATAAACTGCATTTAGTCCATGTGTAATTGAGTTATTCAAGGTAGAACTGATGCCTGCTGAATGGGATGTTTTGCACCGGATCTTTACATGATGCTTCCAGCAAGCTATTCATGCAGCATTCAGGGATGCCCTTCTACAAACATAGAATGTGCACTTGTGTTTTTTTGTTTTGCCTTTTTTCATTTATTTTTTTTCTTCTCTATTGGAACATGGAAAGTTCCAGTGGAAAATAAAACTATGATTTATAACAAAACCCAATAATACCCTCAAATCATCAGTGTGACCTTTTAGTTTGGATAAAGTGGTGCACATGTTCTAGAAGTATCTTTCTACTTTGGTCTTTCCACTTTGTTCTGGTTTTATTAGATGGTACAGTGCTGTGTGGTGTAACTGGGGCAAGAAAGTTAAACTAAGAAATTATGTTCAGATATTGTAGTTTGCCATTATTGGGCAGGTTGTAACACATGCACAGTTTATTCAGTCAAGTAGGAAGAACATGCAGTTAAAAAATCTATAATGCTAATGTCTGTCAATGCATGCTAGTTGTCTGAAATAATACTTCAGTACATGTGTTAAGAAGGATGAAAATTGATGAAATCGGAAAGCTGCATTATGTGTTTGTTTTTGTCTCTCCCCCCCCCCTTCAGAAACTGTCTTAACTCTTCATCTGCTCATTTTTCCCAACAGTTAGCAAACTGTCTAACCCTGTGGTGCTAGAAGTTGTGATTTCTTCCTGTTTTTGCACAAACATATAATGTGGTGAAATCCAGACTCCCAGCACTGAAAGGGGTTGTGTGAGAGTGTATTCAGTATTTGGAAACTTTTTATTGTTTTTAGCTATTCCTTAAAGGAGCATTATCAACTTTTTCAGGTTCTGCTCTAAAAATTACATCTGTGTTTAGTTTTCCTGAGGAACTTTTTGTCTTAGCATCTGCTTTTAGAACTGCAGTCTTCTGAACGAGGATTGCTTGCTCATAGCAGCGCAAAAGCCTGACACAGTTCAAGAAGTATCTGGACAATACTTTCAGTCAGATGGTTTAGTTTTAGGTAGTCTTGTGAGGAGCAAGGAGTTGGACTCGGTGATCCTTATGGGTCCCTTCCAACTCGAGATACTCTCTGATTGTACATCAGTGTACTTGTACACTTGAAACCCAGTGTTCTCTAAGTTATATTTTGAGGAAGCACTGGCAGTCCTGGTCTACCGAATATGAAAGAGAAACTAAGAAGTCCGTGTTGAATTTTTTAAGTGGGAGTAGAGGAAAACTGTTTGATTTCAGGCTTTTATGCAGGTATTAGAAATAGTAAGAAATTAGGGTGTTCTGAATACTGAAAATACTTGATAGTGCTCCTTTGCAAGCGAGAGTTTAATGTGATGCATTTTAAATAGCTTTCATTTGTACTGAAAATAGTGTTGCTTTAAAATGTGTTTTGAATACTAAAGTTGCTTTTAAAAAGATCAAAATAGAATACAAGAACTACAGCGAAGAAACTGAAATAAAAGTATCAATTTTTTATTATTTATTCAGGAGATTTCACCTAAACCACAAAGTCAGAAAAAAAATGAAGCTGATATTAGCAGTTCTGCCAACATTCAGAAACCTGCACTGTTATCCTCAACTTTGTCTTCAGGAAAGGCTCGCAGCAAGAAATGCAAACAAGAATCTGGAGATTCTTCTGGGTGTATAAAGCCCCCTAAATCACCACTTTCCCCAGAATTAATACAAGTCGAGGATTTGACGCTGGTCTCTCAGCTTCCTTCTTCTGTGATAAATAAAACTAGTGAGCACAGACATTTTAAAAACCATACCGTAACTACTTATAAGAGATCTACAGACTTTTCTTTTGGTTGTAAATGGCTATTGCTTTTAAAAATGAATCTGCTTTAAATTAAAGGGCCAAGTTGGGAGCATTAGGGGTAGCTCAGTATTTTAAAAGTCAAGTCACATAATAAGGCGTCTGAATTACTCTACTGTAAATAAGACATTTAAATAATACATTTATAGTTGTGGCTTTAATGGTTGGCTTTCCCTCCCCCTTAAATCTCCACGTTAGTGTTAACAGTGATAGAGGAAAATTCAACCCTCCCTTCTGAAGGGGCCTGATTCGTTAAAAAGAAAAGACATACACCTTGGTTGTGGACCTTTCCCTCTCTGAGAAATCCCGCCTTCAGCAGGCTGAATGTGCTGTTGGCTGTGGTGTGCTTCACCTTAGGTGATAATCCCTCCAAATATGACGTGAAAGAGAAGATGGGTTCAAGATCTGTGGTGGGGTTTCTTTGTCTCAGACTAATACCATGGGTGTCCAGCTTCTTAACGTGTGACCGATTTGCAAAGGACCAAAGTACTGGTTATCAGCAGAACAGGGAAAGGTTTATGCTGCATCCTTGAATAAGCTTTTTTTTTGGCAATATTAAAATATTCCTATTTCTTTTTTCGAGATCACACTAGGTTTTTAGTGTTGCTTAGTTAGGGTCAGGCTCTTTCTGCCCTGAAGAACATTAAATGATGAGTCCAAGAATGAAAATAAATGTGTGTTCCACTAAGTTGAAAGCTACATTTTTGTTTCACTTTTAGAATAGTGATTGAGGATGGAAGATTAAACCTTCATCTTTTGTTTCCACCCCAGCCTTGTTATGATATTTTCTCTTAAGAGATAAGTTTCGTTAATTTTTTTCTCACATATAGCCTGAAACGAATGGGAGTGGGAGGGGTGCAAATTCAGCCATCTTTATTTTTTCAGGATGCACTGGTATAGATTGTATTTTGTCCCCATAAATCTTTCTTGTATACAGCTTCCCTCCCCATCCCTAAACCAGTGGTGAGTAGTTTTCCTTGAGCATGTTTGTATTTTGGGTTAGATTAGACTTCTCTGTAGCAATAGTTTAAAAATCAGCTAATTTAAAACTTGGTTAATTAATAGCTTAGACCTTTTTAGTGCTGTCTTTTAGTCTTTTGCTTCTGAGTTTTTACAATCTGTAAAGGAAATTCTGTTTTGCTGTCTCTTTATTTTTAAATTTGTACACCTTTGACTCTAAAAAGTGCTTAAGAAAAGGAGAGAACAGTGATTTACAGTGGAATAATGACTTAAATGCTTTAATAAGGCAAAAGTTTGTGAAATTGGAGAGGTAGGGGAGTGTGGGTGTTTTTGTTTTTAATGAATCAGGCCTATATTAACCTGTATCAATCCTCCCTCCTTTATTTTTAAGTACAAGGTTCTTGACCCTTCTCACTGTGCCAACACAATGCGTTGGCAGTGTGTACTTGACATATAATTGGGGTATTGATATCAGGTTAGCAGAAGACAGGAGATGGGATATAAAATTAACCACTGCTTTTGATTATTTTTATTAAGTTGTATGTTAACACTATCCATGACTTTTTAGATCCTTAACTGTGATCATATGTTCTGTTTACTGTTAAATCCTATTGCCCCCTTCCATTATAAGTAGCCTGATCTCCTGGGTTATATGGGGGGTTGCTTATTGTAAACCAACAGCCTTTATCAGTGGGGAAGTAGGTGCCCTAATAATGTATACTAAACAAAAAGCAGACTCATATCTTGAGCATAACTCTCTTTTTTTGCTCCTGGTACTCACAGTCTTTTAATTACTTTTGCCAGTTCTGCTGTGATTACCAGCTTTGCAAATAAGAGCTATTTAAAGCACTCCCCATCTTTAGATCTCAGATACTGCGGTAAGATTATGGTATATCTCTCTGCTTCATGAACATTGAAAGATCTCTTTTTAGGTCCATCACAGCCAGTGAATTCCCCTAGATCCTACAAACATAGCCAACGGAGAAGAAGATCACAGCGTTTAGCCACTTGCTCCTTGCCTGATGATTCTGTAGAAAAAGTTTCTTCTCCCTCTTCAGTTACTGATGGAAAAGTGTTCTCCATCAGTGGTCAAAACCAACAGTCATCAAAATTGGAGGGTAATGTATCTTAATCTAATAAAGAACTGCCCAAGAGAAATAGAATCATAAAAATGAGACCTTTCATGGTTTTCATCTAATGGGATATTTTGACTTACCGTAGCTAAAGCTGAATGCTGTTCCTATGTTATGTAACGCTGCAATCCAAACTGTTGTTTGTTGGACCTATGTATCTTTTTTAATTCTACATTTTTTCTTTTGTGTAGTACCTGATGTTGCTCATATGTCACTTGAGAAGCGTGGACCATGTCTCCCTCTTGATTTAAGCCGTAGTTCGGAAGTTACAGCACCATTATCCACAGAATCCACTTTCCGTAATGAATATCCCAGTAAAGACAAGGAAGATATTCAGATGATTACATATCTTTCTTCCAAAGCAGTAACTGATGGAAGAGTAGCTACAACAGCGTCAGGTAAAGAGATTCAGTATACAACCAGTTAGGTTATAGATGTAGGGTTAAAACAGTGCAAGCCTGCAACTCTTCCTGGGGTCTCTCCATCTGCATATTCATCTTCCACTGGCTTTGAGCTGCACTAGCACTTTTTTCTAACACAATTTAAGGAGGGTCTGAGTTTATGGAATATAAAGAGCAGTATTTAGTTAGAAAAGATGTGATTTTATTAAAACTTGCAAAAATAACGTATGAAGTTACTAACATACTAACATACAGTAAATCAAGATGTGCTCATTTCTCTGTGGCTTCATCTTTAAAACTTCGTAGCATTTTCAAACACTATCAACATTCCTCTACCTTTGCTTCTGTTTGCAGTGGAAATTTTGTTATTTGCTTGCTATGAAATGTTACTTGAAAATATTTATGAAAAATACCCTAAAATTTATCTATGTCATCTTGGTTCACCCTCACAAAGTCAGCATAGGGCCCAGTACTGGAACTCTGTGCTGCCTCTCAGTTTGTAACAGCTTCCTGACTACTGTGGTTTAAGTGAATTACGTGGATAGAGGCAATAAAGAGATTTGGGGGGGGGTGTGGGCGGTGTGTGTGTTTGATAAAGTGGTTTGCAGGCCCTAAAAGTTGGTTGTTTTCATCCAGTGTATGTTAGATGTCCATATACTTTTTCCGTAAGTAAGTCTTCTTTTTTTTTTTTATGTGAGTATTATACCATTTTTAATTGGCTTCTGAGAAAGAATTCTCACAAGCCCTTTTTCTTTGTTGTTGTTGTTGTGATTTTGCATTTAAATGAGAAGATAGCTCAATAAAGTAAGAGGAGAAAAAAATCCCAGTATTGTACCTTGCTGAGGAAGGTTTTGGTTAATCTGATCAATGGTAAGGAACGACAACGTTACCTTTAAATATGTAATTATGGCAGTCAAACTATAACTTAGTCTTGTTCGGGGGTGGAATAACAGCTTTGCATTAAGCTGCAGTGCTCACTAGAGCAGTGAAGTACACTGTTTAGTATGTATAGCCCCTGCTTGGGTGCCTGCGCACACTGACACTGTTAAGGTGATTGCTTCACTTCAAAAAATAGGACTCAGTAGTGAAATAGCTACTGCGTTGTAGCAAAGCTGTTTAACTTGGTGTAGCAAAAGCTGGGTGGGATTCTTGGATCGATATTGTGTAGATTGAAATGGATGATTGTAATTATCCTCTCTGTCTCTCAAGAAAAATCTATTACTCTCTCAAACTAATTTGTCAAAATAAGGGCAATGGGAATTTCTAATGAGATTCCAGTTAAGCTTTTAAGAAAAAATAACTTATTACTCAAACCATGTGACAGTCTTCATTTGCCTTTGTTACATTGTATAGCAGTAGAATTGCACATTCCTGGGGAAATTACTGTGTCTTGTGCCACTAAGAGAAGTGCTTCTGGGAGATGTATATTTGCCCACTCCTAGAACCCGACTGTAAAAGAAACTAACAGCATCCAACTACCATCTGTTTCTTGTTTATTAGAACTGATTTCAGTTACTAGGAATTTAACTTCTACCTTTTCTGTTATGTTTTCTGGATTATTTAGTGTGGAGTTGGTAATGCTGACAGGTATTTATTTTGATGCCTGCTCCCATCATGGGATTTGCTTGTAGTCTGAGGGAGCTGGTTCTAAACCCAGCATCTATGAGTACACTTGTACCTGTTTATTAGTTGAGCTTTGTCTTGGTCTCACCCACAGCTGAATTTTTAATTAAAGAAATAATATGTTTCAATTATAGCCACCTTTATTTATGACTCTGAAGCATTTGACGTGTCCACACACTGTGTAAGAGGAAACCACTCCCTAACAGAATTATCTGGTATTACTATTTAACCCCAGAACGGGAAGATGGAAGCACTTGCAATCTATGCTGGTGAATACAGTTTGTACTGCTTAGTGGAGCTTTTGGGGATCAACGTGATTTTAACAGCTCTCAAAGAACTGATTTGCCAACTACCTTCTGTCTTCTGGGTTTTCGCCATCCAGACAGATCTGTTTTGTTCCTAATTTTCACATATTACAGTTTTCCTCTATGCAATCTATATAACTGTTTTGAGCTGTCATACTTACTGACTTATTGTCCAAATCTTAAGAGCTTTCAGAAGGATGCAGCCCAGCATCCACTTGAGTGGGAGAAACTTTGTGGGCTGAAAGACAAATGTAAGCAGTTTGATATCTTAAATTCAGAGATTTTATAGAATCAGCTAGGTTGGAAAAGACCTTTAAGATCATCAAGTGGAACCGTTACCCTAGGACTGCCTAGTCCACCACTAAACCATTCAGTTTTGAGCTAGCTGTCTCTGTCAGTAGTGCCTCTAGGACTCTAACTGAAGTTCCTGTGTCTTTTGGGTTCACATCAGTCATTTTACTCTGGTGAAACTCATTTGTCTCATAGTCTTCTCACAGGAAGAAAAACTAAAATGTAACTTTTAAGCCCAGGTTTGAAACCTCTGAAGTTACTTTGCACTTTTGAGTAGCTTTTCTTGTGTTATCTGCTTTAGAAGGCATCTTTCTGCTTTTGACATAGCACAGATTCTCAAGTCATGTTACTTAAGCACCCATAATTATGACAAATCCTTGCATGCTTCAGGAGAATTAATAGAATCCACTCTATCACTACTTTTCTAATGAAACAATGTTTAAACAATGGCAAACTAATATATAAAGGAGAGGTGCCCAATAGATGCTTTCCTTTCTCATTCCTGTTAATGCTTGAAATTGCTGAGAAAAGTTAACTTGCATTAAGCAGGAATATTTGCCTGCCTAAGTGTATTTTAATATATTGCATTATTTAGTCAAGGTGCGGCGACTCTAGCTGTTATAATTTGAGAACTCTGTGTAAAATCCAGACTATTCTGCAACTGTTTTTTAAAAATCTGAACAAACTATTTAAAGTGTCTTTATGACAGTTCTACTGTTTGGCTTTTATTGACAGTCTGGACAGGTCTGCTTTTGACAACACAATGGAATTTGCCATGTGCACTTACATTAGACTTCATGTCTTCATAATCATTGAAGTAGGTAACTGTAGCTATGTTCAGAAGTTAGGGAGGTAGCAGAAGTATATAGACTGGAACAGCCTGTGTATGCTCACTGAGCCTTCTGTGAAAGAGCCATAGTGTTTTAGACCCAGAGATGCAGTTTGTGGATTTGGAAGTTTAGACTTCTAATGGAGGCTATCAGTTGAGTCAGTTGAAAAAATAACTTTTATGTTGTTGAAAATGATGTATTTCAATGACTTTTTAATGCAAAGGATACTAAGTTGGTGTTTCCAGAGGGGAGGGATGAGGCGCACTGAAGTGCGGAAGCGTAACTGGCAGCTCATTAACACATAGATCTCAAAATCGTTGCTCAAAATGAGCAGCTTGTCATCTTCTAAAGGCAACACTGATGAATTCCTTCAGTTCACAGGCTACCTGGGAGTACTGTGTATATTGGTAGGCACTGGTACACTACCAGCTAATTATTGAACAGTGATATTGCTTGCCTACACTGCTGTATGGGCTTACTTGGGATCAACTGATACTGTCCACACATAGCTAAGAGTCCTCGCTTTCATTTGTCAAGCCGTCCTTCCTGTCACTTAGCTTCTCATAGCGTTTCAATCCCAGTCAGTGGGAAATACACACAGAACACTGCAGTTATCCAGTTCTAACTTCATGAAGTTCAGATCTTTCTGCAGTAGTAATTCTCCTTAAATTTGTGATAGTCTTTCTTGGTTTCTGTAACATTATACCATTTGTGTTTAACTGTTATGTATTGAGCAAACAGAATTGCAACAAGCAGTCTGGGTTTTAGAATTGAAGTGAAAGGAAATAGTTACATTTACCAATGTAACTATTATTAGCTGTTCTTTCTTCTAGCTCAGTTTGGATGATTTTACTGGTAGGGTAACATTAGGTTAACTATACAGGAGAAATTTGCACTTACACTAAAAGGAAGGAACATAAATTTTTACATAATTTCATGGATGAGTTCACTGCAGCAGGAACAAAAATGGCTGTTGAACAAAATTGTCAGAAAATGAGATCAGTTGCTCTTTAGTAAACTCTTGACAGTGTTCTTGGTTATCCTGCTTTTAAGAGGTATCTATAGAGTCTTGTGAACTAAAGCTCTTGTTACTTTAGAGCCCTTTGTTTACCCCAAATACCCACTGACAGTTGGCTTTGCTCCCTGATTTGAATATCTGCCATTCTAATCTCCATCCTGAAGTTCCCAGCTTATTCTTTTGGTAGTTAGCTGAAGGCAAGGGAGAACGTTCCATGTTCTTAAAGATACTGTTTTGTGCAGGATCTGGTATTAATCTGTGTATGTATTTTAAGTTCATTCGGATATAAAGTTCATCCTACGCACTGGGAATTCAAACCAGAAAATTAATCACGATAGAACCATGAATTGTGATGGTCAGGTTATGATTTCAGTTCAGTTTTAAAGCAGATTGTGATATGTCTGTTAATAGGAAAGTTGAAACATCAAAAGCCATGGAGCAGACTATCGTGCAACAGAATAAGGCACTTCACATTGGTACAGTTTAATTTGCTGAACTGAAATAAGCAGTCCCATTGAAAGCCCATCTGTGCTGCTGCGCTTGTAGCACCGTGTCTTGTGCTGTGCTTGCACTTTAGGCTTGTGTTGCTTCACCATGCCGGACCAGGAGAGGTAGCACCGGGCAAGTGTCATAAACCGGGCTGGAAAGTGCTGTGGTTTGCATTTAATTTCAATCTGATATCAGTCTTCCAGTGATGGAATTGATATTAGAACATAATTAGACATAATTAGTAGTTTATCAAGTCTAATCTCTAAGCATCTTTCTCTCTGCCGAGTGTTAATTGCAGAGCTCCCACGCTTCACTGTGTGGGAGATGGCTGACTTGACTCCTCCGAAAGGAATAAAATTGCAATTAAAAGTAACAGTTAAAAATATGGTAATAATGCCATACAGGAAATCTTTTATAAACTGATATTCTTCTTGCTGTATTTGCTACTTGCCTTTAAGACTGTGATTATCTGCTTTGTGTAATTTTGTGGTTACTTGTAAGGCACAGTGATTGAAAATCAGACTTTGCAAGTCTTAACACTTTATTTAGGACCTGACAATTTGAGATTCTCAATCTAGAATGATTTTGGATTCATAAAAGTAGAAGCAAAGAATAACAATGCAGTGTATGCAGGCAACAGTGACTTCTCTTTTCAGGTTACTATAGAAAGGCGGTCTGGTGAGCTCTGTCGTTGAGGTGGATATTTGTGTGACTGTAGCAGATTTCTGCTCATCATAAATATTCTCTCAGTTATTTAGTTCCTAGCTATTACTTTGTCAGATGTGCTTGTATTGAAAACTGAGATACTGAAGTTTCTTGCGTTGTGGCTGTCAGAGCATATTTGAATATCCGAGGTCAGGATTTCTTTTGAGTAATGAAGTTTAAATACTGATTCATCTAATACTGAGACTGTATTTCCCTTGAGATAGTTTGGATGGAGTGTTCTCACATCTTTTCATCAATATGGCAGTGACCTAACCAAATTATGTGCATTTGGGCGATCCTTTTGTGCTCCTTTTAGAAACAAGACAAGACGTTGATAGCATGATGATGTGAAGAAATGTCACTTTTCTTTTACTGAGGTGCTAAAATATACTTGATGCTCCACAGATGGCAGAGCAGTTCATTCCTGTAACAGAGACAAATGTTAATTAGGAAACCCAAGAAAAGCATAATTTGGATAGTGTTTTGTGTCAGTGATAAGTATCCCATCAAGCTAAGTCTGCTTGAAATACAGGCAAAGGCAAGAGCCTGAATAGCAAACCAGTCCTGAAAGATTACAGTCTTAGATGGGGTGGTTGATTTGAGATAGTGGAAAAGCTTCCGTAGCCTCAACTGTGGTCATGCAGCTTATGTCTCATGTTAGAAGCCAGCACATCGAACTAAGCAGCTGCTCTTGGCTGCTGGCTGGGTTGCCTAGCATGGTGGTGTTTTGCATCTTGCAGCTGGGAACATCTGGCATTTAAATGTGCTCTGTGATGTGGTAGGTGAGGTACCACTTTCCATTGCTCTTGCTGCTCCTGCATTCTCTCTCTCTGGCATTTTGACTGAGACAGCTGACTAGGAGATGGAATAAGTTTCCTGTAGCTTGCATGTTGAATCATAGCAGAATTGGGTTGGTCTGTCCAAGCCTGGAAGGCTGCTGTCAGAATCAGCTCTGAGATATTCTTGCCATTTCCCCAGAATCATTTTCTGACTGATGAATTTACTAAATTACCTTAGGAGTGCTTATTTAAATGCTTTTTTGTTGTTTTATTATTGAATACTTTTTTAAAAAGAGAAAAGAAGGGGAAGCTCAAAGAACCCGTTGCAGATCAGGTTCATATTTTGTCTTTTGCAATATCTTGACTGCTCATGCGTATTTGTCAGGACATTTTTGGTTCAGTGCTTTAACCCACAAGGGTTTTTTTACATGTAGGTACTTCTGTCGGGCTCTAAGGTCGAGATACACAAAAGGTGACTGGTGCCTCCTAGTGTTTACAGCTGACATTCAAAACCCAGAGCCCCTTATGAGTCTGCAGAGCTGCATTTTTGTACAGTATGTCCTTGGCATGGGCCTGAAATGTGATGGTGAATGGTCTCAATGGTCTGATGAAGTTTACATTTAAATGAAACTTGAAGTGCTCAGAATGTTGATGAACACAATAGTAGAGTCTTAAATGACCTTAGTAATGTTATTTATAAATAACTCTTCTTCTAGTTTAATTATTTGACAATTTCATTGTCCTACTTGGTTATAAATGTTAGCAATGAAATTATAATTTGAGTTTTGTCTTGCCATGTTATTTCCTAATTTGCATCTCAAAGATTTAAAAAACAACTAAATATTTCACTGAATAAGCTTTTCTGAATAGTGCAAGATATGAATTGTCAGTATATGATGCTGGATTCTGACAGATCACACAGCATTTTGCATATAATTCAAATGGATTAAGTACATACATGAAAGATAGTGAATGATTTAAATAAATGAAAGTTGCAGTAAGTGGAAGTGTAAATCTTATAGCACTAAAAACGTACCAAAGCTTAGTTTCACTGTTCATATCATGGAGTGTTAGCTTAAAAGATATTGACGGTGTCAGCACCTTCAACACTTACTGTTCATGTGGGTTTATGTTACAGTGAAATAAAAAGGAAACAAAAAGGCTTAAATGTAGCAGCAAAAGGACAGTTTAAACAGTGCAAGTAGTTTAAAAGTGAGTGCAAATTCCAAAGCAAAGAAACTTTCTGTGGCATGTCTTTTCTTGTATGTAAGACTAAGACCTAGGCATTCATGTGCAGTAATTATATGTTGCGTGTGATGATATTATTACGGATACTTGACATTGCAGTGATCTGACCCAGCCAGTGACCTGGCTACAATCCTTATGGAATGCCTAGTAAATCTGTCTTCTTGTTTTCAGCACCCTCGTCCCATGTACATGCCTTGCATCTGGAAATGCCTTTAACCAATAGTCTAAAGTTACCCAAAGGGAATAGTAAAAAAAAGAGGTCTTCCACATCAGTGAGCTCTGAAGGGACAGAGATACAGTGCTCTGTGCCCATAAAGGAGAAAAGTTTTGAGAGTCTGAAGGAGCAAATATTAAAGAACATGATTGAGAAGGACAAGCATTCAGAAGTTGGTAAACTACAATACTTTTTGTTTCCAGTGCTTTAGACAATAAAAGTAATTCTAAAGTGGCATGAAAAATATTGTCTGTATGTTTCTTCTTATGTACCATTAGGGCTTTTTATGATCTAATGATTTGTACAAGAAAGTGGGTCATCAGCCAGACATTGCACTTACGTCATATATTCTTCTTCAATTGGCAGGTGCTGTGAGAATGGAGAGAAAAGGGAAACTGGAAGAGAAAAGTTCTTCAACATATGGTATGTACGGAGCAATAATATTATTAGGAAAAAAAGAAAAATTCTCTTAACACTTGATGTCTGTGAAGAGCAGATGTAAAAGCATCAAGTATTTCCTAGGCCCAGCTGCACTTCAATTGTTTAGGTCTTAAAACCAGGTTTTGTATATATGATAAGTTTATAGTACAAGAGAACATCAAAGTGCCCATAACAAGTGTTTGGAAGGACCTGTGAGAGACCTGGGCTAAAAAACGCAAGACTTTTTAGTTACATAAGTGATAGCTGCCTTTATTTCCTTGTTCTGATCAGTTGGGATGGGAGGTGGAAGAGGAGAAAACAGTTCAATGTTAGTAGCAAAACATTTGGCAATTCTTGAAAGAAAATATAAATTAAGAAGGCCGTAGTTTTATCCTGTGTTTGAAAAAAATAGGAAAAATTGTTAAAGATGGTCAAGAACTTGTAAGTGATTTTTCCTTTGTTTCCACAAGGTAGCAGTTCGGATTCTGTATTTCCTTAGAAGATAAAATGACTCAAATTTGTGTGCAGGAAATCCTTAAATACTGATGCTAAGGTTTTATTTTCTATAACAAGTCGATTTTCTTGTTATTTATCTCACTGCTGATTACTCAGAAAATGATGATGGAGTGAAAATGTTGTGGGATGTTTGTCTGGGGAAAATTAACAGGATAAATAGCATGTTTCTGAGACAAATTACTTGTCCTCATGCATATACCAACAGTGGGTAGAAGTGAACCATGGTGTAGAAAATGGATCATGAATTTTAGAACAGTTTTCTGTGAGCATGTTGCTATGCAGTAAAAGGTGCTGACAGCATCAGCAGATTTGTGATACTGAGATTTCCTGTAGAAAGGAAACAGGCCTAATATGTGTTTTTCAGATGATGTTATCTTTTTACTTTGGGATTTTGTTCTTTTGAAAGCTTTCTCTCTTGGCCGAGCCTTTTTGTTATAAGCTGTAAGTAAAACAAGTGTTACAAACTGCCTAAATAATGACACTTACTTTGTGTGCTTTGCTATGTCTTCTTCTGCTATGATACTTCATGTTGGAAGTACTTAAAATGGTAAAGTGCTATTCGTTGAGAGAGATTCCTTTGACCCATTCTACCAGCAATTAATGAGACATGTCCAGGATATCAAGTAAATTAACGGAATCATTCTGATCAGACTAAGCAGCTGGAATACTTGATTTTGGATGTCATGTTTAAGTTATACCAAGTGAAGCAAGTAATGTGGAATGATACTGCTGTGTTAAAACATTACATTTCTATTTCAGGTAAAAGGAAAGAAAAGGAAAAGGAGAAAAAAGAGAAAAAGGAGAAAGATCATAAATCAAAGCAGAAAAAGAAGAAGAAAAAAAAGAAGAAATCTAAACAGCATGGTGAGTTCAATTTACTTTTACTAAATAAGGAAAACCACTGGATGTAGTTCTTGCATTAGGTATTAAAGTTTGTTTCTAAAGACTATGAATGTCATATTTTAGAAATTCCAAGAACAAGTTTTGGGCTAAATATTGGAAGGACACTGATGTCTGTCGCCTCATTTTTGTGCTTATAGCCTGTCTTTATGTGAGGTAGATACTTCATAGATGGTTTTACTTCAAAAGATGTGCTTGCTCTTCTCATCTCTTTAAATTCTTCATTTGAAGCTCTGTATATGCACCCTGCCTATTTTGTTTGGACATTAAAATTATTCTAGTATCTGTGTTGCTGAATTTTAGTGGTTTATTGTATAAAATTCAGCCCCTTCTTAACAGTTAATCCTTAACTGTTGAGGTTGGCATCTCTGTTGCAACAACCTTGTCTGTGGTCTTGACAAATGGTGATTCCATTTGTCTTCATCTCACTTTCCTTATTTTGACTTTTTGACCATGTCACTCATCTATTTCTTTTCTCTCTTATTTTCGTTGCCCAGAGGGGCAAAAATAATTTGGGTTTTAGATACGAGGCTCTAGGTAGCTTTTACTTTTTTAACAAAGCAAAACCCCTTTGAAACAAGTCTGCCTTTTTTTCTGCTTGTTTGAGCATGCTCGTGTAAGTATGGTTTCAAGTTTTAGCTCCATCCCTTCTGTAACTCATTGGCATGATTTCCATGGAAAAATTGGACTTTTGGGTGTTCTGTCTTTTGTAATAAAAAGGTAACTATCCTGCTGACCAGCACAGTTATACTGTTTCTTTGTATTTCTTCCCCTTTTCCACATCATCTGGTTCTTTTAATCTCCCATAAGATCACATTACAGGTTCCTTGGTTTACATTTTTTAGCATCCAGTGCAGCTTTAGTTGCAACATTATGGTAGTAGAAATAATGGCGTGGGCAAATGCAGACTCATTCTGTCTTTTTGTCTTGAGAAGGGGAAACTTTAAATCCTGTCATACAAAGACTTTCCTAGAAATTTTTCCTAAAGAGCATGTGGAAGAACCCTGCAAATTAAAAGGAGCTTCTGGCCACAGACTTTCAAAGATGCCTTGTGGATCTTTAGACTGGTTATGCATTTTTTCTGTCCAAAATTTGTGCTAGAAATGAAAAATGTTCCCAAATCGTGTAGTGCTTGAATATGACCTGCAATAATTTTGAGGGTGGTGAAATACTGGCACAGGTTGCCCAGAGAGGTGGTGGATGTGCCATCCCTGGAGACATTTAAGGCCAGGTTGGATGGGGCTCTGAGCACTTGCACTGGGCAGGCATCTAAGTATTTTCAAGAAGATACTGGAAAATGCTAGGTATACGAGAGCTAAAGATAAAACAAAGACCCCAAGACCTGAAGCAGTCCTGTATGCTTCATCTGTGATTATTAAAACACAGGAGAGTGAGTTAATACTCTCCACAGGTTCCATGTTTAGAAAGATGTTCAAAAGTAATGTGCCAACACCTTGTGTACAGCAGTATCCCTGGAAGCACTCTCAATGCAGTTTGATTAGAGTGAGAACAGCGTTTTACAGGTCCTCTGTTCTTTGAGTCTATGACTGAGTGTTCGTGTAAAGGTGTTGAAAAAAGAACTTGCATAAAAATAAGCAAAATAATGATGAAGGATTTGAAAAAAGGTCTTTGGACTGGAGTGGTTTTAATAGGTAACAAGCTGCAGATTTGAAGTAAGGTCACAACTATGAAAGTATATTTTGTAGTAGGGAAACTTGAACACAGTGTTTCCCTGAGCGTTCCGTTTCATGTATTTCCAAAGAAAGGAGTAAATGGGGAAGTTATCTGTCATCTTTGGTGTTGAATCCTGGAATGCAGATGAATTGTCAGAAAAGGCTGATGTAGTGCACAGTTTGGAAAGTTCGGAAGGGATTGGTTGGACTGATGGCTTCATCTGAGCATGTGATACTTGGCCATTCCCCAAAGTGCTTAAGGTCAGGGAATCTAAGGCTTTGTGTTGTCTGGGTTGCAGCTGGTTCTCTGGTTCCTTACAGCTCTGATATGCAGTGAATTCTGCAAACCCTATTCATCCAAACTGATTCTATTAGAGTATCTCTTGTAAATTAGCATCGGAGCTGTGTTCTTGTGCCCAATATTTGCTTTGGTTTTATGTTGTTGAGGACTTTTTGCCAACTTTTCTTTAAACGGAAGCTTGGCAGAAGTACCCTGATTAAGTTCCAACTTCTAGGGGCCATATCCACTGCTTGTAAATATTAGGAGAAAACTGTATACCTCCCAATGCCCAACACATAGCAGTCATAAATCCAGATGCAGAAAGCCATGCGAGTAAAACATGAGCATTTTATTCTTTGTTGCAGTGAGGTTGACAGCAATGCAACATGAAGTAGTCAACTGCTCATTGATTTGACTCTGTTACAGTGGATATACTTAGGAAATGTGGTAGATAATTTGGTTTTGACAGAAGGAGAAAGTAAATATGAAGAGTGGATTTTTGGAAGGTATTTAGGAGAGAAGCATATTGTGGGACCCATTGCAAGAAAACTCTAGATACACATGGTAGCATCCGCGTTTGGGATGAAAGTGTAGAAATGTGATTACTCACTCATACTTGAAGCAGTAAGTTCCAAGAGGAGTAAATAGCTACTTTTAATTATCGTTTGACCAGCATAAGACAGACATGGACCTGCTCAAGTGGGTCCAGAGGAGGGGAGCAAAGATGACCGGGGCTGGAGCAGCTTCCTTGTGAGGACAGGCTGAGAGACTGTTTAGCCTGGAAAAGAGAAGGCCGTGAGAAGACCTTCTAGCAGCCTTCCAACACCTAAAGGAGTCCTATGGCAAGAGTGGGGATGGATTGTTTATCAAGGGAATGTAGCGGTAACAGTTTTAAATGGAAAGAGGGTAGATTTAGGTTAGATATCAGGAAGAAGCTCTTTGCTCTCTACTGTGAAAGGCTGGTGAGGCATTTGGACAGGCTGCTGGGAGAAGTTGTGGATGCCCCATCCCTGAAAGTGTTCAAGGCCGGGTTGAACAGGGATCTGTGCATTCAGAGATGGGGGCTGGGAGAAGTTAAATGGGTAATACTTGGCTTAGCTATTAAACTTCATTGTTTAATGCTAGTTTTTTTTTAAATAAAATGTTATGAAGAGCTTTTGCATTTCATATTTACAGTTTCATCATCCTAATACCTCAACGTTGATATCCATTACTGCTGAGTTTAATGGAAATTATATATGCTTATATGAATTTAAGAATGTATATTATATAATTAATAATATACGCTTAATATTTTTTCCAGTTGTCATAAACTTTACTTTTGTAACAGCAACTTATTTCATTTTCAGATTATTCAGATTATGAAGATAGCTCTGTTGAGTTCTTGGACAGGTGCTCCTCTCCATTAACACGGTCCTCGGGGAGCTCTCTGACTCTGCGCAGTATGTTCTCAGAGAAGAATACATCATACCAGTATCCAAGAGCTATCTTATCTGTTGACCTTAGTGGAGAAAGTAGGTTGGCTGAACAGCAGCTTTCAATCTGTAGGTTTAATAATTTAAGAAAGAGATTTTTTTTAAAGGCAGTAATTCGGTCTGCCTTTGGGATTGGAGCTTTAAATATGGTAACTGATTTATACTTCGTCTATTTAAATTAGAATTCTTACACTCCTCAAGCTGTTCTTCATTGTACTTGCTTCGGTTAAGAGTTGTTACTCTGCTTCTGAGGAGATCACATTAAAGGTATTTTGCAGAATTCATCAAGAAATGCAGTATGCTAGTATTTTGCTATATGAAGGTTAAGATTTTTTGACTGACCCCCCTGTATGTCTGTAAACTATTGTGTCTCTGCACTCACAGTTTCACGTGTTTATTTTTACTAGACCTTTCAGATATGGAATTCTTGGATGATTCCTCTACAGAGAGTTTGTTACTTAGTGGTGATGAATACAATCAGGATTTTGATTCAACTAACTTTGAAGAGTCTCAGGATGAAGATGATGCTCTAAATGAAATTGTTAGATGCATTTGTGAACTGGATGAAGAAAATGGCTTTATGATTCAGGTAAAGAAATTTGGGGATGTATTTTCTGTATGAGTGTCTTGATTGTGAAGGTGTCTTTTTGATGTGTTGGAAACTCAAGTTATATAGAGAGCTGTAAATAGAAGTGAACAATTAACAGTATTTCTGCAGTCTGCATTTGGCATTGCTCTGTTTGGTGTAAGCAGAACTATTACTCTAGGATGGATTTTCTCTAAGACTTTGATATGTAGAACAGGTTTGTAAGAAAAGGTAACTTTTTTCTTTATAGCCAGTTAGTAAATTTGGAATAAAATCTCCTTTCCTGCACACAAATCACGGCTTCTGTCCTCAAACCATCTTGATTATACCAGCCCTTCTGGTTTGGCGCTTGTGCTTTGCAGTGCCAGTTGTAGAAGTGGCTCTGCTTACTGTGAATATATCTCAGCTGTATGCAGGACCTCTACTATACAGACGTTAATATTGTCAGTAACTTTGATGTGTGCATGATGTGCATGCTTCATCTTCAGAATAGCACTTCTCAAACTAGAATAACTAGCTGATTTTAGAAACGACTAAGAATTTCATTTTACTTGGTATAGAAAAAAAGGAAAGAAGAGTATGCGGTGTCTGCACAGCATTCAGGTGCTGATAGATTGTAAATCCTGCTGCTTTTTGATTTGTACTCCAATGAGGGGAGCATTTCCCATCTAGTAATCAATAATTTAAAGTCTTTGTCTCAAGGAATTCATAATACTGTGATTAGATCAGATGCAACTAACAGTGAGGAAGACCTTGGTTGTCAGTAACTTTAAAAAAGCCTTGAACTTCCTGTAGATCCCCCCCCCCCCTCCCCCCCCAAAACAGGTTTGTATTAAACTATTAATGTGGTACAGTTTCTGTTGAAAATATGGAGCCTTTTTAGTTGAGATTTGAAGGAGGCAAGGATGGCTGGCCTATCCTTACTTAATGGACTTAAAGTCTTTTGGAAATGACAGGAGTTGAAAATGAAAGACACAAAGGCTGGTCCTGGGAACACACTCAAATTCATTGCTGTGTTGGAGGAACTAAGCAGGAGCTCGGCTATGGTCATAATGTGGAAAAATGGAATGCTGTAGAAACCTGTGGAGAGAGGTGGGAGGAAATTGTAGCCATTGCAGTATGACAAGAGGAAAGGTGATTTTGGTATTTCGAATACTCAAAAGCATGGCAAAGCAAAGAGGAGAGACTTTCAGAAGGGACCAGAAGATGTTTAAGACACAGGCAAACACTGAGTTGAGAAACTGAAATGTATTTTTAAATGGGAGTTTCCTGCCCATTTCTATAGTTCAAGTGACAGCCTGATTTTTTTCCTCTTTATACCTTGTCTCACTGAGAGCAACCAATTTGCTGTTTCTAGGTCCTCATGTCTTACCACTTCTATTTTGCTCTCCTATTCTCTTGTTTCTCCTCTTTCATTTTCTCTCCATTTTCTTTTTCTTTTAGATTTTCCATTGGTGCGATATTAAAAACACATCTTTCTAGCGCACTGGAGAGATGCTTTGTAAATATATATATTTAAACTGAAGAGTTTTCTACTTTTCACTGTTATGCTGTAATGTATTACATTATCTTTCTACTTTACTGTAATATTATGCTCCTGTTTTATGTTTCACTACTAAATATTTAGGTGCTAAAATACTGGATTTTGTAATAAAATATTATTAAATATTATATCTTTGACTTTTTCTATGGTTTGTTTCCCCCCTCCCCCCAGTCTGGAAGTTGTGATTGAGGTAACTTTCAGAACTAGAGCTCTTTTTTAGCTTGATGTCTTTGCCTACCCAAACACAAATTGCCCAACTAAAATAATCTTACTCAAACCAGCTATTTAAGTTAAACTGCTATTCTCTGCATTTTGACCACAAGAAATAGCTTCTGATTTTTGAATCTCCTTATCTCAGTTTTAGTTTTTCTTTTTGTTTTTGTTTTGTTCCTGATGGCAGTGTGAAGAATGCTTGTGTTGGCAGCACAGTGTATGCATGGGACTGTTGGAGGACAGCATTCCAGAGCAGTACATCTGTTATATCTGCAGAGATCCACCAGGTACGAGCAGACCACCTTTATCTGCAGCTGTCTGCTTGGGATTTTTAAGGAGAGATGTTGTGCATTGCTTAAACTGTTAAAGCTTTGTCTGTTTTGTGTTATCCGTCATATTTTCTTGGGGCAAGTGATTCTAGGTTTGTCTCTGAGCAGACACTTTCTTGTTAATAGCATCTTGTGCAGCTATGCTACATCTTATTCATGATCTCAATTACCATCACTTTACTTCTTGAAACTTAATTACTCCTTAACATTAGTGCTTTTTTATGTTGGTATAGTCTGAAAAGCCTTTTTTAAACAAATCATCCTTGTTCAGCACTCTGTTTGCCTATACGTGGAATCACATCCGTTCATTTACATATCTCTTTAGAGAGGACCAGTTCCCGTGGTACACTCAGCGGTGCTGAGGATGCCATTTAATATTAACTGTAATTTTATATGTTTGTGTTTGTCCAGTATTATGTAAATAAAGGTGTGGAACTGAAATGTGAAAATGAAACATAGGAATAATATATGAAATATGAAAAAAATCTAGCACTTTTAATGGTAAATGCTAGTGCACAAACAGCACATTTTGAAGGTTGTTAGGGTAAGTTTGATAAGAATTAGGGAAGGTCTGTTTACTTCTAAACTGAATACATTTGATTAGGAAGATTCTAATTTGTCCATAAACCCATTTTTCCTAGCAGTTACTTGGAGAAGAAAAAGTACAATTTGTCAGGCAGAATACTAATAACTTTCTTCCAATTGTTACAAATGCACATACGTGTCTTCTGGTGAAACCTCCAACAGTCCAGATGTTTCTTAAAGGGCAGTGAGACTGCATTCCAAAATTTACTTTTGTTCTGAATTTAGGCAATGAAATCTGAAAGCTGTTTGCAGAGTGTAAAATAGCACAGTTCTGATTTGTCATTTCCAAGATGAAAATTCAGGAAAATAGAGCTGGAAAGATGTGACTTTTCCATTTGCCCCAGTCTGAATCCGAAAGGATGGTGTAGAGTGGTGTTTGATAGTTGAGAGCGGTGCACTCTTTGAGCAGTCAAGGTTCTTCTTATTAAAACCAACTAATTTGTCTTGTGTTCTTTCCCTGCGCTGTACCAGGTACTTCATTATCCCCTGCTGTGCAGAGACTGCTTCCCTAATTTTTATCTTCTCTCCCTTCCTAACCATTACTTCTTTTCTTTCCATGTCAGGAGAAAAAGGTCATTCACAATGTCAGTATTTTAAAGTGTATTGGGATAATGGGCAGAAAGGAGATAGACAGGGTATTCTCCTGAAAGGTATGAAGGGCTTCCATCAACCCATTCTTTGTTCTGTATATGATGATAGTCTGATATGAAATTGAGTGTAACATATTGCAGTCACTCTTGTTTGTCTGGGTTCCTTATTGTAAACAGCAGCATTGGAATAATTAGCATTATACATCCTGAGTTTTGGTGTTTTGGTTTTGCTGGTTTTGGTTTTTTAAATGGCTATTAGGTTCCTATAGAAGAAGTAGCTAAATATTCATTGATGCCTGTTGGGTTAAGACTATGGATGTTGCCATAGCATGGGGGACCAAGAAGTACACTTACATCAATACCCTGTCTAGTAGTGTCTGGTACAAAGGCATCTCAAAGTAGAATGCAGGAGCAATGCTGGCAGATAACTTTGAAATGTCTGCTTTTCATGCAGCCTTCTCCTGGCTTCTGATAGATAGATAATGATTTCAGTATTGAAACTTTCTGGTTTGGATATGTCCATATAAAATCCACTCTCTTAACATTTTCTTGGTAACTTAGTTTTCTTTAAAGTAAGTTGCAGTAATTAGATAAATTCATGATGAGATTTTATTTTCAAATGCCATTTAGAGAGGACTTGAGATTTCAGGTTTATTTTTTGGTTTTATGAGTTTTAAAGAGCTTCCTCTTAATCCAGGAAAACCAAATTTTAATGTATTAATAACAAGATCTTAAATCATTCTTTCATGTATTGGGAGATGTTTAGGAGAGTACAGCATGTAATTTTAACACTCTAGTTATTTAAGACTAGTTCTGCTGTGGCTTTAGATGGCCCTCAATTTGTTTCTTGCTTACCCCCCAGGTCAGAGGTGGAGTGCCAAATATCTTTATGATAAAGAGTGGTTAAACAATGGACACATGTGTGGATTATCATTTCTGAAAGAGAACTACTCTCATCTTAATGCCAAAAAGATTGTGTCAACGCATCACCTACTGGCAGATGTATATGGTGTAACTGAAATATTGCATGGACTGCAGCTGAAGATTGGGATATTAAAGTAAGTATCAGTGCAGGGTTTATTGTCTATCTTTATGTATTTAGGTAGCAGAGACTACCATTATTCCAGGTGTAATAAGCTCTCACATTAATGTTCTTTCTTGTATAATATTTGAAACACTTCAAATGCAAGATGTAGAGTACCCTCAGCTTGAGTGAGAGTTGTGTTCAGCATGGTGTATTAGGATTATTAGTGATGTTTTTAATTACTATTTTTTAATAGTCAGTTTGGTGTTAAAGGGACATCCTGGATTTATTCTAAATTGATAAGTGACCTAGGAGTACTTAGTTTTTGATAATGGTGCTTCCCGATAGCTGTGATCTTCTAGCAGAAGTGGACACTTAATAGTTCATTCTCTGTAATTTGCTTTTTTTCCTCCCCTTTGTTCCAGAAATAAGCATCACCCAGACCTTCATCTCTGGGCTTATTCAGGGACACGAAAAGAACAAGAGCAAATAACTGTTGGGGTAGAGAAAAAATCAGTGACTTTGCCAGATTCTGTTAATCCAACCGGAAGGACATGTCGTAGTCAAAACCATAGAGAGCCACGCAGCATACCCCAGAAGATGGGAGAAACTTACATCACAAGTGAGCACAGTTACCAAAAACCGCAGAGTTTTGGTGAAGACTGCAAAGCAGTCGCTGACCCTATGAGCTCAGATGATGAAGATACAAGTAGTTTTGATGAAGATCAGGAATTTCACACAGAGAATAGAAACTGTTTACAGTATTCTTTTAAAGATGGTGGCATGAATGAGCAGGTAAGTATCATTCTTCCTCTGGGAAGTTTCTTAGTTGGAGAAATATGCTCAAGGTGATAAAACTCAAGCACATACGAGTATTTAGAAACTTTCATTGCCAGAAGTCAACGTATTCTATCACGTAAGTCAGTAGAAATCATTAGAAGCAGAAAGCTGGATCACTGGAATAGTTCAGGTGAAGTATACCCATTTCAGCTGGTGAATGAAATGTGAAGTATGGTTAAAGTATTGCCTATGCTAAAACTGTTTATACTCAATTCACTGGTTGTGGGAGGTGGGGGGGTGGTGTGGAACTCCTATGCTTAAAATACAGGATCTTGGAACAGAACTTATGTGGTTTTTGCAAGGTGAGGAAAATGGGACAGGTTTCTTTTTTTCTTCTCAGTTCTGTTTTCTATATTTCAGTCTTCTGTTGTTTGTTAAACTACTACTTTTATTATTATTGTACTGTATTCTTTTAATAGCAACACTATGTACAGTTAATTCCACAAGGAGTGACCAACAAATTTCGCCTCGTGCACCTTCTTTTGAGCCTTTTATATTGTGTATTTCTTCTAATTAAACATTTCACATGTTTTTAGTCAGGATTGTATTTGGCTATTTAAACATCTTTCATTAATCGTTTAAATCTGTTGCTTAATGGAAAAGGTCTGAAACTTGTCAGTCTGGTTCTAGTGAAGAGTTCTCTTTGAGCAAAAACGCCAAGTGAAGCAATCCTTTCTGTTTTCTGCAATGCCAACTGTGTGAGAATAAATCGCCCAACTTATTCTCCTTTTGAAGTATACTTTCTGGTGTGGAAGAAATGAGAAAGACTTGTCTCTTTTAGTTTGAAATGTGGCATGTAAGTTATGTAGTCTGAATGGGAAATTTTGGCTTATTCTAGATGGGAATAATTTTGTATGCTAAATTGCATGATTGTAGTTTGTATAGTAAGGGGACTTGCAGCAGTGTGAAATAGGCTTTCCTTCAAACAGTAGCTTAAGTTGTCATTATAAATAGTATCAATTCATCTAGAATTAAAAGTAAATATATATGAGCAGTGAAGCAAAACTAATGTTTTCTAGATATCTAAAAAGCTGCGTGCTCTCTGTTTTAAACCAAGAGGAGATCTGGTTTGGGGTAGTATCAGAGTATTCTTTCCTTACTTCTCCTTGTTGTCAGTAGTCAGCCTTGATACCTTAAATGAGACTTTCTGTCTAGAGTTAGTATATATTTAAAAGCACTCCTTGGTTTTTCCATAAGCCTGTTCATACTTGCCTTAAAACCAAGAGGACACTGAGATTGGAGTGTCATTTTTTTACATGAAATAAGTTCTCTGTAAGGTGCGTTCTTCACCTCTCCATGTCAAAGTTTTGTTTGTTGCTTTGATTTCTCCTTCTAGCATCCTGCAAAGCCTTAAATGTTCTGCTTGTTGATACTGTTTTGTCTTAACCTAATCTACAGTTCTGTTACATATCCTCTTGTATAAACAGTGTTCAGATTGACTATTATCAAGTTCCTTTTTGGACTACCCATCATTTAAAATTACATTTCCTTGTTCTTGCTTCTGAAAGAATGAGCCTTCCCCATCTGAACCTGACATTTCTTTCTTCACAAGCTGGAGCCTGTACTCTGCTTCTCTTACTACCCCCTGCCACCACTCCCTGATTGCCTACACTGGTCTTAGAGGAGGACCTGTTTGACCTTGTGATTTTGTTGCTTTTCTCAAGGAGTATTTATTGGCTGTTTGAATAAATACAGAGATCATTAAAAGGGTGTGTGTGCACGGGGAGAATCTCTTCTGATGTTATTTAGATGTTATTTAGCTTTAAGATTTTCTCTGACAGTGCAGTGGGCATCTAAAAGATTCACCTAACCAAATGATACGGTTTAGTGTGAGGTGTCCCTGCCCATGGCAGGGGGGTTGGAACTAGATGATCTTAAGGTTCTTTCCAGCCTTAACTATTCTATGATTCTGTGATCTTGGTTTCAAAATGGTGCACTCATACAGCACTGGAAGAATGACATTCGTCTCTTATGCTTTTAGAAAGAGTTTGAAAATTGTAAGAAGTAGGGCATCTCTTATTTATGTTTGAATTACCCTCTGTAAGATTATTAACAGTTTGAATAGTGAAAACCTTGTGGAGGCAAACCTGATGTCTTGAGAGAAGAAAGATTTTTATTGGAAAGGTTGTAGAATTTAGAGTCTTCATATGACTTCTCAAATCTCTCTGTGATAAATAACTTTAACTCCTTTAATGCATATTTTGAGTATTGACCATACTTGTCGTCCAGATTTTCTTGTAAAGCTGCCAGCAGGTTGGCCCAAGTTTGATCTGTTTTTTTTTTTTTTTTTAGTAGATTTTAAAACTCTCTTTGTTTTGATGGGTTTTGGTTTTTGGTGTTTTTCTCAATAAATAACTTAAAATCTATCAGTCCCTATTTTCTTCTTCCCCTCTCTTCCTATTATTGACAGAAGTGTGTTGTTACGAGATGTGGAAAAAGAAATTAGCTGAGCACTTCATCAGACAAGTGTATTAATACAGTAAAATAAGGTTCTTATTCTGGCATTTGCCATGAACTGACGTTGTGAGCACACATCTCCAGCATTCTAGTTCCTAAAATAGAATCGTAAATAGTGAAAAAACATCAGCTCTGAAATCACAGTGGATAGAAAATGGAAACTGTGAATCCTGCTAATTAATGGAGATACCGAACATTTCAACTCGTTAAATCTGGTGTATTTCCTTTGGTTGTTTTCATTAGCTGAAATGCCAAACAGAGAAAGATGAGGATGTAAGGATACTAATTAATTCAGAGCAGTTAATCTTCCTCAGAGACTCCTTTTGCATAACTCTGCATATTATTGCCCTTGTAACTAACCCCAGGCGTGTTCAGTTCTGACCCAGACTTGTGCTTGCAACTCACATGGAACCATAGCAATGGTAGGAAGAGAAGTCTTTTGTCTTAACCAACAAATAGAATGGCCAGCAAAATAGAGACTTTTGACGTCTTGGATATGAATGCATTTTAGGCATTTTTTCTTCATTCTCTAGAAACAAACTTAGGGTTTTGCACATTTTTTGGTGGACCAGTTCAGTTCAGATTTCATTATTTTACTCATGCTTTATATAAAAAGAGCACAGAAATGCAGTCTGTCTTGCTGCATCAAAGTGCTTAAGCTGGTAGACTTCACCTCTTGCCTCACTCCTCCAGTGCTATATATACTCCTTTGTATGGAATTCACATTTTGTTTGGTTTAGTCTATTGCTGTATCATGGTACATGGCTTTTTGACTATGCTTTTTGTCAAGTAGACAGAAGTACAATTCTAAACCAGCATCATTTGTTGTGTGACAAGTGTTGAAATCAACACCTGAAAACAAAGCAAACATAAAACAAACCCTCTTAAATGGCAATTTTTTTCTTTCTGTTGCTCCTATGAAGAAGAATTCTGCTGAAGGAAACACTGTGTTTGTTTGTAATGAAAGAAAAGGCTCAGAAGAACAAGTGGACACACATCTTCAATGGCAGCTAAATCTCCTTACCCACATAGAGAATGTACAGAATGAAGTCACCAGCAGAATGGACCTGATTGAAAAAGAAGTTGATGGTAACTGCATTGCTAGATACTTGTTAATACACCTGTAACAGCATCTTTGATAGCCACTGTGTTGTGTGATCTGAGGCACTGAGGACAGATTTTTAAGTATTGCATTCAAATTTGGGTACCAAAATGATAATCAGAGCCTGCAGCCCCACACCCTTCCACAAGTTATGAATGCCCAATAAAGTAGCTTAAGCACTCAGGACCCCTGAAAGTTTAGCTTAAGTTTGTGATATTAGGTAGAATTCAGAAAGCTGAGATAACTTATCTAATCTTTATCCAGATATAGATCATAAAGTTGATGGATTTTTCTATGCCTGGAGTGGTTTTGGCCGGATTGTTCTGGCAATTGACAATATTTAGGGATAAAAATGTGTTCATTCTGTCTTCAGCTTTGCTTTGCTATATATCAGTAAGACAAATCAGGCTTTGTGAAAAACCTTCTGTGGAGTTGTAGCAGAGGAGTAAGTATTACAGCACATAAGTTTACTCACCAGTCATAGAAACTAAGAATGAGGGAAGCTTTTAGTCTACTCATAGGAGTCCTTAATTATCTTTTGACAAATAAAATTGTCTTAGTTTTACTTTCAGTATTCCTGCTAGTACTAGGCAGTATTTCTAGGCTAAGAGGGTTGACCTTTTCCCTTCTCTGCCTCTACAAGCATAGAAATTCCTTGAAATCATTTGTTGAAGATTAGCAAAACCATTCTGTAATCTGGACCTTGTAAACAGGAGCCTGCTAAAGTGACAGAATCCTTGCGTTTAAGGATTGTGTTTTCTGTTGCAGAACTGTCATAGCTAGATCGTCATGAACTGAGGTTTCTTTTATGTGCGTGACTAATAAACCATTAGCTACAAGTACAATTTGCTCCTAGTATCTTTTTATAGTAACAGTCAAATCAGAAGATACGTTTGGATTGTTCAAGTGAAGTGTGGAGTTAGTTGGTGTTTCATAGAATTGTTTGGGTTGGAAGGGACCTTAAAGCTCATCCAGTTCTAACGCCTGCCTGCCATGGGCAGAGACACCTTCCACTAGATCAGGTTTCTCCAAGCCCTGTCCAACCTGGCCTTGAACACTGCCAGGGATGGAGCAGCCACAGCTTCTGTGAGCACCCTGTACCAGTGCCTCAGCAGTGACTTCTTCCTTGTATCTAATTTCTTCTTTTAAGCAAAAATCACAGCCTCAGTACATTTTCCCTTCTTATAAGAGACAGAGTAAGAAAGAGAAGTTTAAGTTTTATG